AGTACCTAGTTGAAGGACCATGGTATCCCTGTTCTTAATTGGCCAGCAAACTCTCCTGACCTTAACCCCATAGAAAATCTATGGGGTATTGTGAAGAAGAAGATGCAATACACCAGACCCAACAATTCAGAAGAGCTAAAAGCCACTATTAGAGCAACCTGGGCTATCATAACACCTGAGCGGTGCCACAGACTGATCGACTCCATGCCACGCCGCATTGCTGCAGTAATACTGGCCAAAGGAGGCCCAACTAAATACTGAGTGCTGTACATGCTCATACTTTTCATGTTCATACTTTTCAGTTGGCCAACATTTCTATAAATCCTTTGTTTTTATTGGTCTTCAGTAATATTCTAATTTTCTGATATGATGAATTTGAGATTTTCATTTGTTGTCATTTGTAATCATCAAAATTAAACAAAATAAACATCTGAAATATATGAGTTTGTATGTAATGTATGAATATAATATACAAGTTTCACTTTTTAAATGGAATTACTGAAATCAATCTACTTTTTCATGATATTCTAATTTTATGACCAGCACCTGTAAAGCTTGGCAATGCAGTGCAAAAGTATTCAATCCCCCTGAACTCTATTTCAATCATGACCTCTTCTATTCAGACTTAGAAGCAGGGGAGCCTGAGTAAAGGGAGCAAAACACAGCTGCTTACCATACTTTTTACAAAAAAATCTCTCTGCATCACTCGGTGGTTAAGCCATTCTTCAGCAGGGGGAAGGGAAATGTGGTCAAAGCAGATTGCAAGCCAGATAAATCAGTTTAGAAATGCTTTTTGCACACAAGCAGCACTGATGTACCTTTGAAACAAGGGAAAAGTATATATAATCAGGAGATCTTTTCTGACGCTTTTTTAACCATGTGGCTTAAAGATCTCCCCACAGCCGCTTAGCAAGCAGTGAAATAGAAGGTCAGGAAATGAAACTAAAATAAATGTTCCCCGCTACTGTGAGAAATCAATGAATAACCCCAACCAATTACAAAAGACGGTCCGTTGTACACGATTGGTTCCTGACACGTCAATCATGGTCGTCTGCTTGTCCCTCCCCCCTGTATGCGTACCCTGACACATGAAAGAATCGACCCCCCAATGCTAGTGCAGGGCGCCATGGCTGGAAGCTAACCACTAATATGCTACGTTCACACCTATGGTGACCAGATGTGGGTTTCTGAAAAGGAGAGCATTTTTTTTGGGAGGGAGGCTGCTGGACCGGACCGGGCATTGGAACGGAGCTTTGAGCTCTGGGGCAGGTGCGGGAAACCCAGCGGCCAGCCAAAAGTAGGACATGTCCGCAAAAAAAGAGGACGTCTGTTTACCCTATTCACACCAAAAGCAGCAAGAGCAGCAAAAACGTGCATGCTGCTTTATTTTTTATGCTTGTACAAGTTTAGTTCTGATGCACTGCTGAAGCATCTTTACTGCTCTAGGTGCGCTGTGGAAAAATGGGGTCTGATGCACGTTGGAAGGAGCTACCCTATCCTTCCTTTGCCTGTAACAATGGCAGTTGTATTTGCTGTAATTAGTGGGTAAAATTTAGTTTGAATCTATTTTGAAGTGAGAAAGTCCACCTGAAAACATGGTCAGTGCAGTCAGTTCATCCAGATTACCATCCTGCCTTAAAATATTTGTGTCGGAGCCACCTCCTCGAGGTGTACCAGGATAATAATTGCAAGCATGTTTTGTCGGCAGATTACGGCATTTTAAGTTAATTTAAGCATTAATAAACTGTTTCAGAGGAGTGATCATAGCGCTCTGCATCATTTGTGCTGCCTGTCTCCCTGCCAGCAGCTGCTCCTGCTGCTCTAGACGGGCTGCAGACAGCATGCACGTTCATGTGTTTTGAAGGCGGAGTTTCGAGGGGTTCGAAGGGAGAGGCATGGTTGTGTATGTTCAAAAATATAGCTTGCTGAAACCGTTTTCCCAAGATCTCCTACTGCACCTTTAAGGTTTCCAAGAAGGCACAAAACAATGCAGCATATACACACATATGCAACCTATTTCCTTTATTGGAACAACTTAGCTGAAGGTCAAAAATTAAAAACAGTGAGATTGAAATGGAAGGTTTTTTTTAACTCGACAAGTGTTCTATGTTTACAGAAGAACCTTTGTGACGCTTAGTCAAAACGGCCAAACCTGAAGAGCTGTTTGGAGTAACTATTATCAGCCTTAAACAAGCTGTGCTAAATAATGGTGGATAGAAGTTTAAGTTGCCCTAAACATCTATAAAAGCATTCTAATACTGCTCTATGAAGAAGCAAATTTATTACATGCTATGATATTTCTAAGAACAATGGTAAGGTCAATATTTTGCAACCCACATATTTCTAGATTATTCTATTTTTTTTTTATTGAAGACCTAGACTGTAGCTGATAAAAGGCATCCAGAAATTAGTCTGATCCCAAGGTAAACTTTCCAAGTAATTTTAGTTGATCTGCAAAAGATGCATGATGCAAAATAAGAGGAAACAGAAAAGGAAAAGGGCTTTTATCATTGCACTCATTTTCAGAGAAAAAAATACAAGGTAGATAGCGCCAATATGACATTTGACATTTTATTATCATGATAGGCCCACAGTTAACCCTTTTTCCTCAACGAGGATTTTTTTCTTACTCATAACCATGGAAAACCACAGATTTCCAGTTTCTATTTCAATCAAAATGACACAGACATCAACTGATCTGGCTTCCTTAAAAAAAATCCTCCTAGTATCTTTGAATTTGATAATTTATCATCAACCTTCATAGCAATGTTGAACCAGTAGAACTAGACTCTAAAACCAAAAAGTTTTTTGTCTGATTGAAAACTATTTTTTTGTGCTCATAAACATTATTTTAAAATAAATTTCTTACAATCTTAAATTTTCCCTTCAGCTGACATTTAATTGGGATATGAGTGATGCTCTAAAGACAGATAGCGTGACGTTAGATCCTGGTGGAAAAAGCGAGAATTAAAAAAAAAAAAAACAGCCCTTTTTTCACTCATTCCAGATGTGTGGAATAAAACATCTTCTGTTGTTCATCAATCCCTCAAATCTCTAGAGTTGGTATGAGAGATCTTTTTACGTCGTACCTAAAGGTTAAAACAAACATCTGTAAGCGTCAGAGTTTATATTTTTTTCCCTTACATGACTCACATTCTATTGCATTGTTAATTGACATGATGAATTACCCTCTCTCCCAAAACTCATTTTAGATTTTTTTATACAAAATAGTGTTTTCTTTTTTGGCTTATAGTTATTATAGTTGTACAATATCACAGCATTTTTCAAAGCCATCCACTTATATTTCCCTCCATATTTTGGCGCCAGTCCACAAATGTTTAATAGCCCCATATGGTTTTTGTTTTGTTTTTTTCATTGGTCTCAGATCTTTCCTATTTAAACAATACTTTGAGAATGACAATTTTAATATGAACTGCACACCAGGCATTGCTAATAAAATTAGATTTTTATTTGTTATTAGCTTTCAAGTTAAATTCAGAGAAACTTGAAAACATAAAGTCGGGTACTCTTTAAAATGTAACTTTAAATTTCCCAAAAAAGGAACATGCCGGTTATGATCAAAGCCTAAAGTTTAAAGCATGGCTATAATTATTTTCCTTTATAATACATTGCACAGACTTTGACTAACACTATATTGAGCAATCTACTGTGTCTTAGGAAATTCATGTGTACTTCTATGGAAAAGTGACTTTTCCAACTTGATAAACAACTCTTTCTCCTTGGCATCCTCAACAACGCTGTCAACTGTGGGTCATTTCTGGGTCCTAAGAACTATCCCTTCTCAGGACCAGAGGTGGTCACCACACATATATTCTCTTTAAATATAGACTGCATTTCATGTGGCAACCTTCCACAGGAGCTGCTTGCAATTTCTAATCCATCACGACTCAGTCTGATATTTTCACATGCATCTCTGTTTGGCTAGGCTCACCTACCAAATAGAATAGGTTTAAACTGGAGCTATTTATGAGGTATGCACTTAGTATTATTTCTGCTGACCTTCCTTTCATCAATGACCTGTGCAGGTCTAAAGCCAGAAAACAGCAGCCAACAGTTCTTTTGACTGCATACATCCTGGTCATTGGCTGTTTAGCCCTTATCTCTAGGTTGGTGCTGGAAAGCTCTTTTTGCAAAAGTCCTAGTCAAAGTTTTTCTCCTGAGACTTTGACTTTTCATATCCTGTGCTCATTCTGACCTTCTACCACCACCCCAGCAGATATAAGAGGACTTCCTATAACCGCATTTTAAAGAATCTGTATCAGAGTAAAGAATTAAAGCCCAGTTGACGTGCCAGAATTACAACAAAATTAAAGCAAATAAGTATTGGCGTAATGGGGAAGATAATACGGACATGAATGCTGATGGCATTTGAAGGGACTGTGTCTTTGACGTTGTAAAAGGACACGCAGGCTTCCGAAGCTCAAACTGTGGATGTGAACTGTTAACCAAGATATTTCTTTTTGTAATTTTATGTAGATTTTTGCTAAAAAAAAATTCTACATTAAATAAATAAATTAAAATCACATTACACATCACATCCAATCTGAAATCGAATATCAATCCATTCAGGAATTTAGCCGTCTGTTTTTTTGTCAAGTGCTCATGTCAGCCTGAGATTTTGTAGAAATCTAAAAAAAAACGCGATCGTATTAACACTATCAATCTTTGTTGCATAGGACCATTTCAAAAGCTAGGCTGCTTAAGTGTCTTAGTAAATAAATCAACTGTCTTCCATTAAATTCAAATCTTTTACAGATACGCTGACCTCCAATTATCGATATTTGAAGGTTTTACAAACATTAGAGATAAAAAAGAAAAATCCCCATATGCAGTGACATATGCAGCAAGAGTTCAAAGCATGTGGTAAAATTAAAGCAAAGGGAAACTTTTTTTTTTAGGTCTGCAGTGCCTCATGGCAGGCAGGATAAGTGATGGGCTGAGGTGAGTAAGGGGGGGTGGGGGGGGGGGTCGAAGAGGTGAGTAAGAGATGACTCAACAGCTCTCCAATATAAGATACCCTGATGGAGGCAACCCATGTCAACGATTCAAGCACCAAGCGAGGTAAGGTTTCACTCTCAGCCTCTATTTGAAAAAACTTATTTACTTTTAAAGGAATTTCCCACTCTGTTACCATCACAAGCGCCGTTTATCTATTTGAGTATATTTGTCTTTGATCAGAATAAAACCTTGTTGGATTTTGAGATGCTTTAGTTCATAGATTATACAGAAGCATGTTGTGTAAATACAATTTGGTGTTGCTTTATCATGCCTGATATACTTTCGAACGACAAAAAAACAAAAAGGTACTCATAAAAAAAAAAAATAAAAAATGTTAGCTACAGTCTGAACTTTGATCGTGTTACAGGTTGGGGAAAACCAGAGATCTCTGTTACAAATATTTGCTGGTACAATAATGAAACAAAATGTATCCAATTTTTAAAGTGAAAGACAGAAAGAGCTTAATTCTGACAATCACTAATATGACTTTTTCCCATTTCTATAAAGGAAAATATGACTATGGACTACACATGGGTGATCCTGTTTTCCTTGCTTCATGTTCTAACTGTGGGTACAGGAATGCCTTTGCCAGAAGACAAGAGCAATATTGATCAAATAATAAGAACACTAATGGTTAGACTGAAAATATTGAAGGTATGTTACACAGCTCTGTTTATATAGCTCAAATCCTAAGTGCAGCTTGAAGCTTATACCATATTGTTTGAAACTAAAAGACATTCTTGTTGCTATTTTACAGACGACTCAACACTTGATTGTCACCCCTCCCACTGAACTGCAAGGGTTTTCATCCATAGTAGAATCCCTGAAAGCCTACAACAGGTCGATCTCTGATAACTTGATGGATGTTAGCCAAGTCAAAACTGACATCTCTAAATTGGCTAACACCATCACCAACGAATGGATGAACTGCACGGCAAGAACACCAGAAATCATACTTCCCAAGCGGCTGCGTGACCTCCAGGAGAAGGACCCTAACCTTTTTGAAAGCGTGACGGAAATGGCGGTCCATGGCTTGAAAGAGATCCTCAAACTGCTCCAGGAAAATTTTGATAGTATTGCATCTTGCTGAAAAATGGACACCTTTGATAATGGGGCAACATCTGGATGAATGACTTACTGCAATGTGAAGAACTTTAGAGTCATGAAACTTGATAAAAAGCCCTTTAAAAAGCAGGCCATTTATCATGTGCAAAGATTTGTAAACTCTGCACTAGCATGATGAGGTGGAATTTAATACAATCTTAATTGTATTTTTAAAAGGCACTTATTTTTATGTAGAATATATGTATGTCTTGTATTTATTTATTTTCCTACTTATTTAATCAAAGCAATTTAAGGGACAAGCTCTCAGTGAGAGTGTTTAGTCAAGTCTAAATGATTTTGGAACTTTTATTGTTATGCAATACCAACAACTTGTGTAATGCAGGTAAACATGGAATATTTTGAATATCTTTTTCTGCACTGAGAACAATGTTTTATAAACTATACTATAAATAAAAATTTAACCTTTTCTTACATATCAGTGTTTTTATATTGTCAAAACAGAGAAAATCATAATCATGTAAAATATGTTTAGAGAGTATAAATTTGTGTATTTGTAATCAAGTCAGCAAGTTCAAGTGTAACAAGACATATGGGACCGAAGTCATCACATAACAGGAAATAATGTACAGAAAAAAGCCATTTTCAAAAATCATTTTAAAAGAGATATATAGAAAACTAGTAAAAAGAAAAATGTACTTGCACTGAAATTGTCATACAAAGAGTAATTTACCTGTACAATTTATCACAAATTGTTGAAAAAAAATGTGTGATTTCAGAAATCACACTAGATGACTGATTACAGAAACCAAATGACTCAAGCATCACCTCTTTTTTTCCTGACAAACAGATTTAACCATCAAACCACTTATTTCTTTTGAAGGAGGCGTTCTTGTCACTGCCACCCATCAGTTTCCGCTTGTACTGCTCGACCAAGGAATCAAAACGGTCGCCATCCCTCCTCTTGAACTGTTTCGTGCCGGTCTTTAACTTCAAAAAACAAAAACAGCAAAGCAATGCAACTTTGAGTGACACAGAACACACACAAAAAAAAATGTCTAACAGTTGACATATATCTTTGTACATAAATGCTTCAATAACTTTTAAATATTCGTGTCTAAGAAGCTAAGATGAACTAAACAAGTATGAGTTAGGATATGTTATGTAAACTTTATCATCCCAGTAGCAGTGCTGGAAAAGGTGTTTACCTCCTTAAACATTTTTATAATACATATTTTTTCACACCAAAATATATTTTTGGATAAAGATGAAGTGAATAACTACAAAAAAGGATTTTTTTAAGGCAATAAAGCTTTGCAAAACAATTTAGGTAAGAAACTGCCCACAAACTCGTAACTTGTGTTCTGAAATGTTTTAGTTTTTCAACATGATATAAAATATATAGATTTCAGCAATCAGATTGGACCATTTAATTATAAATTATGCAATACTGGATTTCATGAGCTTTGGTACCACAAGTTTAAAGAGTAAGTGATGCATGATAACCTTTGTGAAATGTGCAAGTTTATCAGCGTTCACCATATCAACCATCTGTGAAGCAAAACCCAACAAGCTAAATGACTGTTGTGACTTACAACTAAAAATGATGAAGCGAGATGGTCAGTTTCATTTGGTTGAACTTTAGTGAAGAACGGTGAAGGAAAAAAATAACATACAACGTGCGCCAGTCGGCTCAACAATACAAACTTTTTTTTTCTCTTCCTGCTCCTAGAGCATCTTGGGTAATAGAGTCCACCTCAATGCAACTACAAATAAATGCAGTGCCAAATTTAGCCACAGTTAACACACAAACTGTGTTATCAACATTAATGTTAACTTATATTTTTAACTCAATAACTTATCATTCATATGTTATGAAATAATAAGTCCTCAATAATGACGAACAGCATCTTTACACATAAAGCAAATAAAAAAATTTAAAAAACAGAAGAGAGGAAAATAGTGATTATGAGTAAGAACAGCAGTTATTTTAAGAGAACTGGAGAAATAGAATGGGATCAAATAAATTGAATCATTGAGTTTAAATTATAATGTTTTTAGTTACTTTATAGTTACAACAGGATATAAGAATGGCTTCAGTCAGATCCAAGGGCGTAGGAATATGTTTACTATTGGGGGGGACACATGTCGGAAATCTGAGATTCGTATTCAACAGAAACATATCTTAAGTATGCTACTTAAAAAAAAGGCTATTTAATCTTTTACTTTATTCCTTTATAAATGTGTCTTGCAAAAATAATGCATTTAAAATTTACATAATGCATTTGTTCATAAGATGTGAGCATATCACCAAACAAAATGACTGGAGTCTTTTATTAAGCAAAGGGAGATGTCTTTCAAGGGCTTCAACCCTTAGCATATTTAGTGTCTGCATCACACTAGAAAATCAAATATTTCAGTTTGATTAAAAACAATTCACTAAGCCACACATGTGCAAAGTTTGATATGTTTTATTTTGTCAAACTTGCAATAATGGTCAAAAATGAATTTATATAGGTTGACTGACAGAGGGAGCTGACGGTGTGTTGAAGAATTATGGACAGGGCGCTTTGAAGCATCTGGTTCAAAAACGCATTCTAAACCTTTGGTAGAAATCCATCCATCCTTCCATTTTCTGTACACCCTGTCCATTAGTGGGGTCGGGAGGTGCTGGTGCGGGATACACCCTAGACAGGTCGCCAGTCTGTCAAGACCTTTGGTAGAAATGGCGCCTTTAATTCCAGTTTGCAGTACAGAACAGAGAAAACTACAGAGTTTTCAATGTTGTGTTAATCTGTTTATCGTCTAAAAAGAGGAGCCAGCAGTTTATTTGAGGAAATAAAGGTGCAGAAGTTAATTAGTTGGTTAATTAGTGGTTGTGCAGTGGACTGCTGCACAACCAATGCGACCGCCGCTGCTAAGAATTAAAATTAATTCTCCCTGTGGTTTTAACTAACGATCAGGAGCGCGGCAGGTATAACATCTGTCAATTTCGGCGAATCAAAACTACGCAAAAAATAAAAAAAATCCTCGTTAAACGCACGCCCAGATCGGGCTAATTTCAACACAAGTTGTGTTAGGTGACTGTAACTCACACTGACGTTTCTCTTTTAAAAAAAATCTGAGTAAGTCCTACTGCTGTTTCAGCCTTTTAGTTGGTGGTGGCATTGTACTGAAATGAGATATATAAAAAAAAAAAAAACATTTTGGCTAGCGTAGCAAACGTCTAGAGAAAGTTAGCAGTTAAATATTGGATGAGTGATCATCCCAAGACTACGGAAGAGGATTAGGGCCACTGAAAAAAAAAAAAAAGTTAAGTGATTTTTAAATTTCATTTCAGTTTAATACGGGAAAAAGGTCAGAATTCTGACTTTTTTTTCTCAGAATTCTGACTTTAATCTCAGAATTTTGGATCTTAATGTAGATGGTCACCATGAAGGAAGAGATGTGGAGCATTCAGCTTCACTGACAAAGATGTGAGTTGTTTGAGGTGGCCAGTGCCACATTGGTGGAAAATGACGGAATTAGGCAACTTTTTACGTGCCCGTGGGGTAGTGTTAATTTCGTTAACGAAAACTAAACGAAAATATTTTCGTCAACGCACATTTTTCACCAAACGAAAACTAGACGAGACGAGACGAAAATCCCCACTAATAAACAATAACTGGGAGTAAATCAGAAATCATTTTCGTGGACTAATAAAGACGAGACGAAAATGCAGTTCGGTAAATAAAGACTGGACTAAAATCTATGGACATTTTAGTTCACGAACAAAGACGAGACGAAAATTATATATTATTATTTTCTGTTTTTTTTTTTTCAAATCCTGTCTCGTCTCCTCCTCCTCCTCCTCCTCGTCAGCTCCCACACACCCACTTTCAAACCCGGAGCGGGCACAGAGTAGCCTACTCCGGGACTCGGGAGAAAGAGGAGACGTGCTATATGGACACATTTTCGCTTTTAAGTGGAGAACAAAACCAAATGCTTGATTTTAGTGGAAGGGAAGGAATATGGCCACATGATGGCTGTAAAAAACACAACAAACCTGAAGAGACACGTCGCAGTTCACCACAAAGACATTACGGTAAGTTACCAGAAAGATTGGTGGTGATTGTTTATAATGTAACATTAAATCAACGGCTATAATATCCCAATGATAAACTAACTGATGTTGGCTAACTTTCATAGCATTTAGTATCCAGGCTGGCTACGTTACGTTAGCTTGTTAGCACGTAGCAACCGTAGCCACTTGTTGATAGAATTGTATGTAAAGTTAAATTTATGCTAACTTAGATATGTTATACTGGCCGGGCAACTATAGTTTCTGTTAAATTGCAAGTTTGATTAAAGCAGACAGACGTTTTAGGTAATCTAGGAGCAGCAAGTGAACTATAGTTAACAGAAAACACCTCGGCAGCTACACATGTATGCTAAATGCTAAAAGGAACTGACACTATTTATCAGGATAAGACAAAATAAAAATAATATGCCACACATAATTCAGAGCAACTTTAACCTAGATTTTCATATACAAATAGTCATTGCTAGGGGAACCACTGCAGGGGTGTCTTTATTTGGTGACATAAAATGCTGCTCTTTTTATCTGCACATTACTATTACAAGGACATTTGAATTGAATTGGCATCAATATGTGCAATCAATATATGCAACCAAAATGCATGCACACCTAAAAATGTCTGCAATTTATTCCTGCATTAAATGATAGTTAGGTTGTTTGTATGAGTTTGAAATGGATGGTCAAATGTAGTTTTTATAGAGACTTAGTTTTTGTTAAGGAAAAAAAGAGACCTATATGCTACTTATACACTTGGAATTCGTGTTATGCTGTGCATCTATCCTAACATTGTATTAATTTCTGTTCCAGATTGAAGATACACCACCACCACCAACAACAACAACCTACCAGCCACCCAGAAACAATGACAGGCCAGCTAAAGCTGGAAGGAAAGCACTTTTGTTGTATCAGTTGGAGTTTTTTATTTAATTTTTTTTTTAACAACATTGACCTCAAATCTATTTATTTTATTATTCAATGTGAACTAGCTTTAAACAGCCAGCACTTGTGTAAAGTTCATAAGACACTTTATTTTATTTATTTGTTTCCTTTGCCAGGTGTGTTTTATTTGTTTTAATGCAAGCATTTGTGTTTGTGTTCAAAATAAATATGCAAATATTGTCAGAACATCTTCCATGTCTGCATGTGTTCCTTAAAATTGTGTTTTTTATTAAAAAGATGAGAGAAAATGTTGAAATAATTTTAGGAAATCTTAAACGTTATCTGCTGACAAAAAAGTAAAAGGTTAAAATTATATCCTGACTAAAACTAGACTAAAATGTTGACAGTTTTTGGTGACTAAAACTAAACTAATAAAATTATGTTTTCTTGGACTAAAATAAAGACTAAAATGCTCTGACTTAAGTCGACTAAAACTAGACTAAATAAAAATGCGATGATGTCGACTAAATGTGATAAAAACTAACAAGCGATGCTGAAACCGGACTAAGACTAAAACTAAATTTAAAAATGGCTGCTAAAATTAACACTACCGTGGGGTCCCCTCATTAATGGAGGAGCAGAAGAGAGCTAGTCTCTAAAACAGACATGGCTATGGCTGGATGCTAACATGTTTGTTTTTAAACATACTTTTGTTATATTACATTTGTGTTGTGTTTTCCAAATAATGTAGAAAATGGATGGTGGGTTTATAATGTTTACCTTTTATGAGCAGGACAGGAAGCAGAGAAGTGTAGCATTACCTCCAACTAGTTAAACTCATAATTATGAAGTTATTCAACAAATTCCTCAAGTAAAAAAGTGCAACTTTTATTTTTTATTTCTTTTTGTTGTTTTTTTTACCAGATTTGTTGATTAATTTCAAAATTATGTATTCCTTCCAAATTTCCAAATCTGAAGAATTTTTTAAACCAATATCTACATTATTTAACATTTAGTTTATGTTTTAGCAGTACTTCCTGTTATATTTCTTTATACGTATATTTTACATTTTCTTGCACAGCAAGCTCAGCAGATTTGAAATTGTGTGCTTGTGTAAACACTAGTCAATCTTTACTCTAAACATATATTCTGGTTATTTTTTAGTTAGACCTACTTGTTTTTATGTATCTGTATAAGTACCCCCCGAAAAAAAATAAAAACAATGTAAATTGATTAGAAATATTAATCATCTGTCAGATTTCTGAGAAAAAAGTCAGAATTCTGAGATTAAAGTCAGAATTCTGAGAAAAAAGTCAGAAGAAAAAAGTCAGAATTCTGAGAAAAGTCAGAATTCTGACTTTTTTCCCCATGTTAAACTAAAAAAAAAAATGTAAAAATCAGTTAACTTTTTTTTCCCAGTGGCCCTAATCCTCTTCCGTACAAGACTAAGATGACTAAACCAAAAAGATTCAGTTTCTATATATGAAAGTGAACTAAAAACAAAACGTTATAAATAGGCAATATTCATAGCAGCATCCCGACAGACTATTTTACCTCTTTCACAAGTTTCTGATTTCTGTGTCGCCGTTTCCCTCCCTGCTGACTGAGTGCTCAAACACTCAGCAGTTCAGAGAGGGGAGGGGGAGTACAGTGACGTAACGCTATGCTGCGCCTTCAAAATAAAAGCACGCTAGTCAAAAAAATGTCAAAATCTAATATTTTGCGGTACAATTTTTGGGGGGGACATATCCACCTGGCTTTTATATTGGGGGGGACATGTCCCCCCCGTCCCCCCCGCTTCCTACGCCGCTGGTCAGATCAGATTATGGACCAGCATGAATCCCTCACTTAAACAGAATATAAGTTTAATCCCATTGATTGATAACTTGAATTTCAAGTTTAACTTTTTTAATTTGTTGAAAAAGTGAACAGCGAACAAATTGCACTAAATCGGAAGTGAGAAGATGGGCTCTGCACGAAAATCTAAAGAACTGAGAGTCTTTGTTTCTCATTCCATAACCATAAACAAATTCTGTTAATATACCGGCTCAGAATGCACAGGAAATATGCAAACACAAATCAAATGTACAATGGAAAAAAAGACATCTAAATAGGTATTTTTTTTTTTCCAAATAAGTGCATTTTTTCTTGGATTGAGGAGGTAAGTGAGACACTTTGCCAATGGAACAAGACAATTTAAATAAGACAATGAAATTGTTTTATATAATAAAACAATTACATTGTCTTCTTTCAAGTGCACATGATCTAACTATCTTATTCTAAGAGTAAAAATACTAATTCCATTGGCAAATAATCTTATTTGCCTATTCAAATTAAGGGTAAATACAATTTAAGCCATTTTTACTTATTTCTAGAATATTCTTGCAGTGTATAGAAAGCATACAAAAGCCTTCTTAGAGTAGGAGAGTACCCTCAGAGGACATCATAAGGCATTCAATATCAAACATCCTGAAGCAAAATGTAAAATATATGAACACCCTTGGAAGGAAAACATGTAGGCCTACATGGAAAAGCTGGATGTAGTTTCTAAATCCAGTGCTGAAACAGTAATGGGCAGGTGGTTTGATCGTCTTTGCTCTGTTGAGCCCAATTATTTTCCTGTTTCCTTTTGTGCAGCCACTTAAAGGGTAATACACCAGGAGTAATAGTGGTCTTAGTACCGCACATCGGTTCTTTTATGGTACAGACTAGGGTTGTCAAAAGTATCGAGACTCAAAAAAGTATCGATACCAAAATGTTGTATCCGGATACAATACTCGTTTTTAAAAGTATCGATACAGTGCTACAGTGCTTTGTTTCTTAACCAGTTTGGCTAGTGTCATTGTTATGTGTGCAAAGCATAGCCAAGGAAGGAACACTTAATTTTAATTTTATACGTTTTTTATAAAGCTTGCTTAATATTGTGCACAGCAAACAACCTCAAAATATTCTTTTTATTGTTTATTGTATTTATTTATTGTATTTTATTTATTAATGAAAATATTTCTGTAGAATTTTGGAGTCTTTGTTTTTATCCTTGTGGTATCGAAAATGGTATTGAGTATCGAGTATTTTCCTTAGTATCGGTATTGAGTTGAAAAGTTTAGTATCATGACAACCCTAGTACCGACCGAAATGCTTCGGTTCTACAGAGTATCGAAACATGCCTCGTCTTTCGGTACCAAGTTTCTGTGATTGGTGGCCGAAAAGTGGCTCTGACACGCGTTGGGCGGAGCTACTCTATCCTTTATTTGCCTTGCAGCTATATTTGCTGTGATCAGTGGGAAGAAAGTAGTTTTATTATGTTTTTAAGTGGCAAAATCCACCTGAAAACTTAATCAGTGCAGTCAGTTCATCCAGATTACCATCCTGCCTTCCAATATTATTTCTGTCAGAGCCGCTCAGACCCCCACATACCAGCGGCATCAATAGGAATCCCATTCAGAGGGCTTGTTGTCTCCTGAGAAAGCAGACATGGTAATTTTTCTAAAGAAAAACTGCTAAGTAAAAAGGTCCTCACAATGTAACAGTGAATATTAGACACTGACTTGTTCTTCTTCACTGAATTTTTTTTTTCTTATTTAAGAGGAAAAATGTAAATGGAAAAATCAGAGCTTAAAATAAAACTCAAGATTTGTACTTTATTATGTTGTGTAATTTTCTTTTTCTTCGAATTGATATTATAAAACTGGTATCGAAAAAAGTATTGTTCAGGAACCGGTATCGAAGTGAAGGTATCGGTATTGGTACCAGCACCGAAAATGTTTGAACAATACTCAGCCCTAGGTCTTACAGTTAGACTTTTGGTTTTTGTTTTATCCCCATTTATTCAGTAATAAAAATTAACTCACTGATTAACAATCTGATGAATATAAGGCTCTTTATTTTAAGAACAGTTATGTTCTTAAAATATAATTTAACATTACTATAACAGAATATATAAGAAGGAACTTGCTTTATATATATATATATAAAATTATTATTATTCAATTAATCTATTAAACTGTTAACTGCAACCCTGAAACTCCCACAAATCCACATTGAAGCCGTTGAGATGTGGCTTTACTGCTGTGCTTTGGATCACTGTCTTACTGCAGAACTAAAATTTGATTATTCTTAAAAGAGACCAAGTCATGCACTATGGCTTTATGCACCAGTAACTCACTCTGGTTGCATACAAAGGTTGCTGATCAAATTACAGCACCCTTAATTTATTTTACGTCTGTGCTTTGTTTTTGGTCCAATTGTCAGTAAACGCAAACATTGTAAGTATTTACCGTGAGAGAATCATCCAACCGGATGTGTGATGCATGCAATGAGTGAACAAAGAAGTAAAAGAGGTTAGCAATTCCTAGCAAAGGAGTGAGCAGACAGGAAAAGCTCAAGATCAAGAACAAAAAAATATTTGATGCCAAGTGATAACACATTGATGGCACTCAGAATGCAGTGTGAATGTTGGTGATCGCTGACGCAAGAGCTAAAGGTGCAGAAGCTACAAGGCTGAATAATGCTTGAAGTACTGCCAGCAGATGGCAGACAACTATGTTTGAGTCTGCTGATTGCCGCTGTGCAAAAAATTATTTTCAGGCTTTAAAAAAGGACAAAGTAAACACCATCATGCTTTTTTTAAGCATGAATAATTTAATTTGGCTGTTAGTTAAAGGCATAGAATGTGAAGGAGCACCTTTAAGGTTCTGTACTAATGGCTTTATAAACCTCTTCATGATTATCTGCTATAGAGCAAAATTCATTATCAATGCAATTATGGAAAGTTTTCAAAGAAAGCAAAACACGCCCACCCCATCACCATGTTTGACTGTCATCATCATGATCTCTTTCTGAACCGCTGTGGGGATTTTAGGTCCACTTTTGTCTCAAAAACTATTTTTTTACAGAAGTCTTGGAGATTACCAAGATATTTTCAGGTAAATGTAAGAGTTGTCTTTGTATCAGTCAAACATTGATTAAACTTGGTTTGGCTTGTGAACTTTAGCTCAGCTTCTAATATGTAGTTTAATCACAATTAATTCATGTTTTAATAAAAGGGGATATTGCTTTTTAAACCATCCTGGTTTAAAAAGCCATTGAATGATCATTGTCCTCTTTTGAAAATATTCTTGAAAATCTTAAAGTATTATAACGGATCATTTTAAACATTTAAATTTTACAAAAGACCAAAGATAGAAGTAATCTTTAGTGTCTAGGTTCATCTGCTGAGTTATGCTGCATTCAGACCACACCTGATTGAAGCAGCAAAAGCAGCTGGTTTACATGCAAAGTCAGTGGTTGACGCACATCGAGGTGCAAGAAAAAGGTCCTGCAGGGCATCGAGCAGCTGGACCAGTGCATCTTGCCACATCTGTGCAGCAGAAGCAGCACCTGCTTTTGAGCATCTGAGGCGCATGACGTGGAAAAATGTAACTGCTTTATGCACCACATCAACCAATCAGAGAAGTTGATCTGGGAGCTGGCAGGGAGACAAACACAGCGCTGCTAATGCAAATCGCTTTGATCACTCCTCTGAAACAGTTTATTAACATCTAAATTATTATTCTGGTGCCTCCGGTTTGGGCAGGATCATAATCTTGATGAACTGACTACACAGACGATGTTTGGAGGAGGACTTTCTCCCTTAAAAAAATATTAAAACTACTTTTTACCAGCTCATCACAGAAAATATAGCAAAGCTTCTCTCTGCCATTGAACACAGGAGCAGCACAAACAGATGCACCTGGACACACTTTACTGGTCTGACCTTAATGTGAACAAGCTTCAAAAAAAAAGCAGCAGGCACTTGCTGCCCCAAATACGTGCAGTGTTAATGTAGCATCACTAATAGTCAAAAGATCACAACTTAAACTTTCCATCTAAACAGATCCTTCCAAAACAGCACATGAGAACAACTGGGATAGTATTTCCAAACCTGTTTTCTGGTCTGAGTAGGCTTTTCAATTTGTCTTTGACGCCTGTTCCTTTTAGATCCAGGTTTTGCTTTCTTGGCAGGAGGTGCCTGTTGCTTCTCTTTGTCACGCATTCTGCAAAAGGACAAAAGCAGGATGATTTAAATATGCCAGCACAACAAATTCAAGGATATATCAAACAATAGCCTTCTATGTGTACAGTTTCATAGTAGATTAAAATGATAAAACGGTACCTTATCTTTGGTCCGCGATGGGAAGGTAAAGGTAGAACCTTCTTTCGTTTCTTTCCATTTTTTAAATCGACATGTTCAACCTCAGGCTGGGTCTGAAAGCCTGAAAAGTGTTGCTTCTGCCTTTCAGAGGACGCTATTAAAGAGGAAAAAGAAAATGAATAACAGCAGCAGAAGCACATTCTAATAGCGTCTTAATAGCTGTTCCATTCATTTTCTCTCAGCTTAAGTTTTACAAACGATAGAAAAAAAACCACAAACCCCTGTGAAACACTTGCTGACAATTAACTCCTATATTTAAGTTTTACTTTCAGTCCCAGGCTCTCTTATTTCCAGAGTTTTCAAAGTTAATATAACATAAAACAGATCTTACACCATGATTACTCATCTATCAAAAAAAAGCCAAAGATGGAGAAGTTGTCTATGTAAAAATTAAGAAAAAACCTGAAGCTAAAATATTACAGTTAAAATGGAAAGTAGCAGTCAGGTGATTCAAATAAAAAAATATTTGATTATAAGGTTATGTTGGAAAGGTGATTTAATTATTCTAATTCAAATAAGTTCTATTAGAACTTCAATTCAAATAGTCGGTCTACTTTTAACTTGTACCTTATCTTGTGATAAATCCAATGTGATTTTATTACTGACCCACACAACTTGTTAATGACTTCCTTAATTGAGCAGTTCCAACATCAGCGAGTGGGTTTTGATGCAATCAAACAATTTCTTTAGGCAGTTCATGTTCTTTGGTAAACAGGGAGGAAAAGATCCCCAATGACATGAGAGATGCAGTTATTGCAGCCCATCAGCATGGGAAGGGTTATTACACCATTTCTAAAACTATCAATATAGGTGGAGAACATTTAAGATAGTTGACACATTTACCAAAGCAAATCTCAGAGAATCTCAGAGAAATAGCAATTTGATTTGATTTACTGATCTCACAATAGAGAAATTTACCTCTGCATTTAACCCATCCCCCTTGGGGAGCAGTGGGCTGCCACTGTGCAGCACCTGGGGAGCAATCGGGGGTTAAGCGTCTTGGTCAGAGATCCAGAGTGGCAGTCTGTGGGAGTGGGTTTCAAACTGACAACCTCAGAATTCCAAGCCCTATGCCATAACCACTAGGCTGACACTCCCCTTAAGAACTCAATTTCAGTTACTACAGGAATCAGTAACTTGTAGCTGAAAACACTGAAGTATGGCATGTTTGGAAGGATTTCCACTAGGAAATATTTTCTCTATAAAATAAACTTTTAAGATATACATTTTTTTAGTGCAACTAATACTTTATTCTGCATCAATACCAAAATTTTATGGATATGTTTAATTTTTATATATATATATATATATATATATATATATATATATATATATATATATATATATATATATATATATAAAAATCTTGTAGCTATATTCTTTGTTAAGCAAAGACTATTTAAAAAAATCATTTGGAAAAAAGGGCCTAAACTAGAATAGAGTAAAATACTAAACTGTGAAAGGCCCTCTAACTGACTGAGGCCAATCTTTTTTTATATAACGAGGACTAGTCTGTTGGTGTCCATCTTTTATTGCATCATGCATGGGAAATGTCATTAAGTCAAAACATATTTTGTAACCCTAGAGTATAAGCACTTAATATATTGTTTTACCTTTCTCCTTTCCTGTTGGCAGTGATGAGGACTGTTCTTTATTTCCGCCCTTCTTTAGTCTTTTGGTGTCTGAACCCATCTGGGACATTTTTATCTCTTCTTTAACAGTTCGATTTTTTATTATTTCCTGGAAACATAAAAAGTATACACTTTGAGAAAATTATATTTAGGATTAAAATCCTGTTCAAGGATTCAAATTAACTGTCAGACAAAACATTACAATAAAACAAAAATATTACAAACTTTATTTCTTTGTTTTCGCATTTCTTTGAGTTTTAGCTTCCTGGAGTCCTCAAGAGAAAACTCAACTATAGGTCTCTGGAAAAAAAAAAAAAAGAGAGCAAATATTATTATGGACCCAGTTTTATAAAAGGCTTCTTTTTAACACCATTGTTATCACTAAACAGCACATTTGATCATATATTATAATTATACTTAGTTCGAGGTTTTTTTTAAAACACTATCAATCAGAAATGACTGTATGATAAATCGAAAAGTCTTAAAATACATTTTTATAATAATTTTAAATGACCATCTGTATGACAGGACACCGCTCCAAAACTATGAGATGCTCCTGGTTACGAAACGGAAGTATAAAAGTACTGAAAAACCAGATTAGATAGTATATTTAAAGCGTACCTTGTGAGGGCTAAAGATGTCAGGGTTGTTGTTAAGGTAACGCAGAGTGTCGAGAGCCTGCTCATGGTCCTGGAACTGGACGAAACCATAACCCAACGACTGACCCATCAACTGACCCTTCTCTGGCTTTTTGTCATACATGACCCGACACTAAAGGAAGAGGCAGGACACAAAACATTAAAAACACATGATCCAAAACAACATGAAAATGCTCTCTTGATTGCATATCACTAATTACATGGCTGTCCATCATCTATTAAAAAACAAAAAAAGAATAATTTGGGGGTTTATTTGTATGATAACTCAATCTTACCTCTGTAATCCGAACTCCTTTGACTCCTTTAAGACCTTGAAGGCACAGTGCTTTGAGCTTTTTGTTATCTACAGACTTTGGCAGGTTATGGACACACAGGCGGTTTTTTGAGACGAATACGTTTACGTCCCGGAGCTTTGCTCTCTTTATCTCTTCAAACTATAATGAAAGTCAACAAAAAACTTAGGAGCCAAAATTACCTAAGAGATAAATAAAGGCTGAATTGATCCTATATTGAAAACAATTCTCCAAAATAAAACATACTCACTCTGACTCTTTTGGCCATATCTGCCTCAGATACACCCTCTGCTGCTTTAGTTCCAGCACGGATCACTAAAGATAATATAGAAACATGCATGTGTCTTACTAAAATACCGCACTAATCAGTGGATTTCAGCTGGACCAGTCCTGATTAGTGACCAGCTGTAGAATTTAATGTTAGATATTTTTCAAACATAAAATGCATCACTTTTAAGCTTTACACTGTATTTTTTTTCTGTATGAAGGCTGCTACAGGCTGCAAGAGACCAAGATGGAGCAAGCCCATGCTGCAGCTAGAAAAACCTTTCCTTTATTCTTTTCCATTTTATAACCTTGGTAAAACAAAAATGCTTGATTTGGAAATGGTGGCAGCCTTTTAAAATGGGAAGGATTCATTTTCTGTAGGAAATGTAAATTGAGAATACTAGATGTACTACAGGTACCGACTGATAATATCAAAAGGCTAAAGCTGACAAATAATGTAAAGCTAATAATAATTTCCTCATTTTAACCCAAAAATGACAATGCTGATGTTATCATATCATCTATTTGGTTAAAAGTGATATCTATAAATGCAAAACTTTGCTCAGTAATTCTATAATTAAGAAGTTACAAGTTTAGTTAGGACAAAGACATAAAGAGACTGAAACACTCACATCCCTCTCTTGCCAGGTACAGGTTCCTGCTTCCTGTTTCTACTTTTTTCTTGTCGACTTTCAGCTTCATAGCGTCTTCTCTACTCACTGCAGCAACAACCATCAGCTTTCTACCATCGACACGGATTCCACCATTCTTCAAAAAATATGGCAACATCAATTTGCGTGCTAAAACTGCAGCAACAATCAAACTGAACACAGACATACAAGAAAAAAATAGTATTTTGTTTTACCTCCGTCTCATCTTTAGCTGCAGCTATGCAGCCGTCTGCAGCCTCTTTAGTCTTAAACTGAGCAAATGCAAGACCTGAAATAAAAACATAAACATTAGCCAACAACTCTTTTATAAACAAGAGAAGAAAGGCAATAAACCATTGACATTTTTTCTGACCTTTTGAATGCTGTGTGTCTGGATGAAGAACAATCTTTACATAGTTAAGCTCTCCAAACTGTAGAAGAGCTTCCTCGAGACCGTCTTCTTCAGTATCAAAGGACAAGTTCCTATAAGGCAGAATTTAAACATTAAAATATTATAACTTTATAAAGCAGTTTGGAGACATACAGCTGAAACCAGATATGTACCAAAACTGTCAAAAAGCTACATTTGTACATTTAGTCAGACTAAACCTTCCTGCTTTAGAAAAAAAAAAATTCATGTTTGTTAAATGCAAAATAATGAAATGCTACATTTCTCTTATTGTTTAGCTTATACCAATACTGTTATGCCTTTAACTAAAGAAAGTCAAAATAGTGACGAATCGTCTAGAGCTCAGCAGTTATATGCATATGCAATATAATCCCAAGATGACAAAATATTCAAACTGCAGAGTCTACATCTAAGAAGATAGCAACCACCTCACTCCAGCCCTCTAGGAGGCAATAATATGCTTAAAAGTGGGTTTACTGCCATAAAGAAGGGGGGGGAGAGGTGCAACTAGCAAGCAGCTCTATGCATACCAACAAAATAGCATTTTTCCCGTATATGTGCGAATCTGGTTTTAGCAATAGCCCATGTGTGAAGATTCCCAGTGAACAAAGGATGGGTGTCAATACAAAAAAGTTAAGAGTTCGGCAAAAGAAGAAAATCGAGCCCACCTGATGAAAACGGTTCGTCCCTCTTTCACATCTGAAGATAGATTTTTCCTTGGCTTTTTTTTCCGAGCTAAAGAACAAAAAAGTTGCTTGAAAATGTTAATATATATAATTTTAACCAAACACTTAACTAAAAAAGGGTAAACGAAGAAATCTGGAATAACTCGAGACCTGATGAGATTTCTTCTTCTCTTTCATCCTCACTCTCATTATCATCATCTGTATCATAGTCATCTTCTTCCTTCATCTCATCCTGCTCATTATCATCTTCAGTTTCTTCATCAATGTCATCTTCATCATCATCGTCATCATCCTCATCCGATTCCAAGTTTTCCACATCGCTTGACTGAAGATCTTCCACAGGCTGTGCAGCTGCCTTTAACCCTCTGTAAAGGTATTTACAGCATCAGCAATGTTGCACTTATCAATATTAGAATGATTCTGGAAAAGTTTAAGTATTAGAATCTCACTTTTTCTTCTCCGTAGTTTCTTGTTTTTTCCCTTGTTTTTTTTCCTCCTCAGAATTACTTCCTGTTTTTGGGTCTGTCTCTTCTGCAGCTTTACTGCCTAAAAGTAAAAAAAACACCATTAGGACTAGGGGGTAACTTTAAATATTATAGGATAAATCAATAATAATAATCCCAGTTTTTCTGAATATTTGTTAGTGAAGATTTATTAAGATTAAAGAAAAACTGGAAAATTTTCAATAAAAATTGACTTTTGCACACCTGCTGCTCCTCCCATCCTCTGCTCTTGACAGCATTGGATGGGAGGAAACAGCAGAGAAGATTTGCAACAATGGTTGGAAGAAATCAGTTTTCTCTGTTTTGTCCAGACTTGTTAAGAAAAATGAGGTAAAAAGCAGCAAATTAAGAGATGACACCAAACTGAGGTTGTTAGATTTTAAAATAGATTTTAAAAAAACATTCTGCTCTAGATTTTAGGCCATGGACATCATTAAAGTGATCTGATTTTTCCTTTTCTCAAGGTTCTTTATTCGACTGAATCTTTAGTTAATGCCTGTAAAGTTTTTTTTTTAAACAAAAATGTTTAAGCTAGTCAAAAAAAGAAAACAACCATGGATCTATTTTTGTTTGTCTCCCCCACATTACATTGCTGTACGTTGAATTTTTTCAAAATTGTAAGGAAAATAGACACAGGACATACAGCACTGGTGAATAATAAACATTTAAATGTCACAGGAGCCTAAATGTTATCCTTCCAGAATAGCTGTTTGTTTGAAAATCCTTTGCAAATCTCCTTAACATGCCTGCTTTATGTTTAAAAAATATCAAATGATGCATCTAAATCAACATAAAATTAGGCAGAACCTTTTTGCCTTGCAGCAAGAAGGTTATGGGTTTAATTCCCAGCCTAGGGTCTTTCTACATAGTGTTTGGATGTTCTCCCCATGCATACATGGTTTCTCTCTCTCTGTAGTCTGGTGTGTGAGTATGCATGGGTGTATGATTCTGTTTTGCCATGCGACAGATCGGCAACCTGTCCAAGGTGGACCGTGCCTCTTGCACATAGACTGCCAGAGATCGACATCGGCCCAGATGGAACAGGCAAGAGAAAGTGGATGGATTATTATTAAAGGCTCAACAAGGGTTCCAGTTTCTGACTAACAAACACTTGCAGGTAATTAGCACTCTTAAACAGCTACATAAAAAAGAATTTAAAGTGGTGAAATATGTCTTCACTTATGCATCTCCTATCGAAGTAGTTAAGAGTATTTTTTCAGTATAGAAAGCTTGGAAAAAGAAAATCAGTGAATTATAGAGGTAGGTCTTTCTCACAATGCCATGCCACTGCAGTAATGGTTGCTATGATCGTTTCCTGAAAACACAAGCATGCGTTTACCTGAACTTAAAGACTGCTGTGCAGCGATATACTTTTCTTTTGGCACAGCCCAGTCAACCGCTACTTGGCGTCCTGTGAAGATAAAAAAAAAATAAATAAATAAATAAAAATAAAAATTGCATCATTGATAAGAACATGACACAAACTGAAAAACATCAAACCGGAAATTCTGTCTTGCATTTTTCACCTTTTATCTCTTTCAGGTTCATAGCCTGGAGTGCCTTCGTGGCTCCAGACATATTTTTAAACTGGACAAATGCAAATCCTCGCATCTTTCCATCTTTAAATTAGAAAGAAAGAAAAGAAATCCATAAATACCCAAGTTTATACATTCGACAAAGCTTCTGTTTGCATTGAGAACAAAGACAGTACCTGGTTTGAGGGCTATATTGGCCTCTACAACGGTGCCAAACTTTTCAAATACTTCTTTTAAGTCATCTTCTGTGCACTAAAACATAAGTCAGGTTCAAACAGGATTAAGGAGACAAAAATCTATGGACGTCACAAAACATGCATGGGGTACATTAGCACCATACTCAAATAAAATACACAATTGACTTTTTTTTTTTTTTTTATAAACAGCAAATGCAGACAATACCTGTAAGGCAATTCAACAAATCAAAATCTTTAAAACTGGTTAAGTATAGATTAGAATTAATATTATAATATGAACACATCACAACAGGAAAGAGAAATCTATTGCTTTTAAAGAGCAGTACCGGTATATATTTTAAAGCCTAAATACACTTGACATTGCTTTCCAAGACATGACAAGTAATTATTACCTTTTTTTTTGTAGCACCATTTAATCTATGCGTACATTGAAAATAAAATGCATCTTAATCAATATTCATATTACGGTATTTATTTCCGATAACTTCAAACAAACTCAATAAGTGTTTATGAGATTTAAATCAAGTTAAATTATTTGTATTTTCACTCATCTTGAATAACTGTTGCAGGTTGTTTTTTTTCTCTCCAAATATTGTTATTTTCTCTCAATGAACAGATACACCTGGATTTTATGTAACGAATTTTAAAATGATCCTCCTCAGTCACACATTACTTAGATCATAGAAATCCATTTCTGTTAACGATACAGTATGTTAAAGCTGTGTTACTAATGTAAAGTACATTAATCTGAATTTATTTTTAACCTTCCTTTAAACTACATGTGTCTGATACTGTTGTAATACCTCAATTGGGGGACAATAAAGGATATTTTTTTTATTCTATACCTTAAAACTCAAATTCCGTATGACAAGTCTAGCTTGTTTAGATATTTTTTGCTTGACATCTGTAGTTTCCTTCTTTTCCTGAGAGGGACATGGTTCCTCTTTCTCTGCAAAATCCAAAGATATGAGGTTAGACTTTGGAATAAAGTATTATTCGTGTGCATTTTTCTTTGTTTTTCTACAAACCTGGTGTCTTTTTCTCTCTCATTTTCTTTTTAGCCACTGAAAGAGAGAGTTTTTTCCCGTCGTATTCTTTTACTTCCTTCAAGGCACGATGTGCATCTTCTTCCATAGAATAAGTGACGAAGCCAAAGCCCCGACATTTCTCTGTTCCTGGTTTATGGAGGTGGAAAAATTGGACAATTAATGGAATTTATATATACGGTATGTTGAAGACAGTATAATTTGATACAAGTAGAATTCAGTGGCACCTTTTTCTCTGACAACGAAGCATTGTTTCACTGGACCAACTTCGGAGAATATTTCCTCAAGTCGTTCATTTGTTGCCGTTTCAGGCAAAGAAGCCACGAATATGGTCATAGCAGGCATGGCTCTTTGCTACCAGCTAAACGCTAAGCTTTAGCGCTATAAAAAATATACAAAAAAACTCACAAGCCGATATCTAGTCTGTTATTAACCAGGAACTGAACTTAACCGTCCAACTACTAGTTTTGACACAACAAAGCCTCACCAATAATTGGCACAAAAATGATTCGCTAAATCCCGACTAGGTCGCATGTTTACATGTGGAGGCAGCCATCTTTGAAACGAAAGGGCTTCCCCTCGTTCTTTTAAAACTGAACTTTGCTGCCACCTGCGGCCTGGAGGTTTAAATCCCAAACTTTTTATCTTATCCTTTTCCCTTTTTTTTTTACCTTTTCAAGATCTGTTCCACAGCTAGAAGCTACTGAGTCAGTAATTTAAAAACAAAAGAGCAAACTAATAATAATATGTAATAAAAAGGAGCAAAAATAATTAAATTAAATAAATCAGTTATTGTTGTGCATTCATTAAAACCTTTATTTTTAGCCTTTTGGTAAATCCTTGAATGCAGTCTATATGTATATATTTTCATACACCAGTGAGTCTCTCTCTCTCTCTTATACACATATATAAGAGAGAGATGTGTATATATATATATATATATATATATATATATATATATATATATAGAGAGAGAGAGAGAGAGAGAGAGAGACTCACTGGTGTATGAAAATAATGTATAAATCAATTGAAATTGGGATTAAATGTCTATAAAACTTTTAAAAATGTTCAACATACAAGTCAATCACACAAATTTGAAGGTGGGGACATAAATAATCCTGAATTTCTGGACCAATCCATAAACATAAATAAACCTTTTTAATGTTGTAAATGCCAGGGTGGGGCGATATGACTACTGATTATTACACATCTAGCCAAAGCCAAGGAAACACTGAAACATTTTTAGTGAAATTAAGTTAATGTATATTTGTAAATTAAGTTACTGTATATTCGTAAGACTAAGATTTTATATCGTAAGACTAAGATTTTATAAGTAAAATGGATTTTATTCAACTCATTGTGTGAATGCTGTAGGCATTCACACTATTGAGATCCTGTTTCTCTTTATTCTTTATTGTGTGAATGCTGTAGGCATTCACACTATTGAGATCCTGTTTCTCTTTATTCTTTATTGTGTGAATGCTGTAGGCATTCACACTATTGAGATCCTGTTTCTCTTTATTGTGTGAATGCTGTAGGCATTCATTGTGTGAATGCTGTAGGCATTCACACTATTGAGATCCTGTTTCTCTTTATTCTTTATTGTGTGAATGCTGTAGGCATTCACACTATTGAGATCCTGTTTCTCTTTATTCTTTATTGTGTGAATGCTGTAGGCATTCACACTATTGAGATCCTGTTTCTCTTTATTCTTTATTATTATTATTATTATTATTGTGTGAATGCTGTAGGCATTCACACTATTGAGATCCTGTTTCTCTTTATTCTTTATTATTATTATTGTGTGAATGCTGTAGGCATTCACACTATTGAGATCCTGTTTCTCTTTATTCTTTATTTATTTTTATTCTTCCGACCATTTTTTGTAACGCTACTACTTCTGCATACTTTATGCTATTTCAACCATTCAAATTTCACAATATTCAGCTCATTTAGGACATGTCGGCTATGTCTTTTTGTATTTCTACCTCTTTTGCTTTTTAAATTATTCAGCTTTTTCTGCAAATTTTTGCCTCATTGAAATGAATGGCATTTTGCTAAAATTCTGCTAAATCTTCTGCTATTTTGCTCTTTAACTACTTCTGCATACTTTCAGCTAGAAACACCATTCAACTTTTAAAATGTTTCCGCATCTTTCTGCTATTACAGTTTAACTCGGCTTTTTGCTAACTTTTACAGTTTTGCTTCAGTGAAGCTTCAAACTTTTAAACAATTTTTAAAGATTTTCAAATTTATAATGGAAGTCTATGGACGGAATGTTCAGCTGCTAGAGTGTGCCACTCTAGCGTTTTCAAACATTTCACTCATGCCGAACAGCTTCAACTCACTCGCTCATCTTTTACTCTATCTAGATAAATTTTACATCAAAACGTAGGGATTTTTGTCAGGATTCAGGAAATGTAACCCTCATTTGTGTGGCATTTACGGTTTTCCGACAGTTTGGCCCAGACCACGAAGAAGTCCACACTTCCCCAATAGAAATCCAATGAGAGCTCTCTGAAAATCCGAAGTGAAAATTCAAAAAAACAAAGTTTTTCGTATCGCTCCCATTTGGGAACCGTTCGACGTAGCAACATGAGCCTTGGTGAAGTTGTTCCTCAGACCTTCCTAGCACTCACATTGAAGGAAGTGTGTCGATATCTTTTATCGTTTAGCTAGGAAAAAGGTTTGTTCGGGGGTAACAAATCTGTCCGAACCCCAAAATCAAGATTTTGACAATTATACACTTTTTTACATCGTCACCACGCCTAGACGAAATATTGTAGAAATATGAAAGTTACACCAGTTGTAGTCCAAAGATGGCTGACGCTCACGGTGAAAGAATTTTTTGAATACCTAATACGGTTTTGGCTCACCGCTCGTTTGTTCGGAGGCGTTTTTTAGCAGCTGAAAGCTCTGTGAGGCTGAGCTGCTGCATGTGAAAGTGAGGTGCTGCAGCTAAACCAATGGGAACTAGCAGGTGGGACACACCATTTTGTTTGTGCTTCGTTTTTTGGTGTGAAAGACCTACAGACATGAAAGTTTCCCAAGTCTGAGACAAAGGCTAGATGTTGCTTAGACGGAAAGAATTTTTTTGATAGCTTATACGGTTTGCCTTCAGCACTCATCTGTTCGGAGGGGGTGTTTAGCAGCTGAACCCTTACTGTAGCTTAGCTGCTGTAGCTAATCCAATGAGAGGATCTGGTGGGACAAACCATTTTATTTCTCCTTCCCATTAAGTTTGTGAAAGAGCTACAGCCATGAAAGTTACCCCATTCGGACAGAAAGGATAGATGTTGCTTAGACTAAAACATTTTTTTAGATACCATTTACAGTTTGTCTTCAGCACTTGTTCGGAGCTGATTTTCCCATTCAAAAAAGCCCGTCATTAAAATGTTCTGTCACAACAACTGTTTCAGTACTTACTTCATCATTTTATGCTATTTTATTTTACTTTCTATGCTACTCTATGCTTTTTTTGTTTTTTACTTTTAAATTCTTGTCAATTTAAAATATTTTAACAATTATTTTGAACAGCTAGTGGTTTTAAAATAACTTCAATTGTGGTATCAGCTGTTTTCTATTTATGTTTCTTTCCCCATGTGTCTGCTTTTTATGATCTTCTTTGTGGGTTCTTTGGATTTTTAAGCTAATTAAAATTACACTATGTTCTACATGTTTATCAGGTGACAAATTTGGATTTATTTCCAAGTTTTATGCTGATTCTAGACATTTTTCCTATTTAACACTTTGCTTCTCATTCAATATCATGTTCTTCAACATTTTTGTCCCTAACTTTAAGCTTCTCATTTTTTTTTCTTCAACTAGATAACAATCCAAGTTCTCCATAATAATTCTGCCTTTTCTGCTAATTTATTGCATGTCATTACATGAAGACCTTCTGTTTTCCACTAATTAGACTATTTACTACATATTTATCCACTGACACATTTGGATTTATTTGAATTGTTGAATTGTAGTATCTAGGAAAGAGCTGTCAGTCTGGAAAATAATTTGTTTGTTATTCAAAATTGTAAACAGAAATTATTTTAAGGCCTCTTTCCTTAGGAAATACAGGGAATATATTACTAACCTTTAATACGTTATAGTTTGGGGAGGGAAATGCTTAATTTAAGTCTGTATAACAAAATAAAAGCGAGGGCGACCCGGATGTATATATGCGCCTACTTCCGGGACGGATCGGATGCTGCCGAACTCCAGAAACCTCAGAAGAACAAACTGACTTCGCTTGCTAACACGGAGAGCTTAGCCAGTAACTGCCCACGTCTACGTTCGCCGAGGTGAGTATACCGTGGTAAAATATTTATTAATTATTTCGAGGATTAAGTGTATCATAAGCAGAAGCGATTTTCGTCAAATATCACAGTTTAACTCGATGTCAAAGTCCGCATTGCTATTAGCTACTGAGTAGCTATTAGCTACGAAGCTACGCAATGCTTCATGATTTCATCATGTTGTTTGAGAGGTTTTATTCTTTCATTCATTTTACTAAAGTCACCTTTAGAATACAAATTTTACCGTTTTGATTGTACAGACTTTGACTTATTTTTATCCACGTTATTTACACAAAGCTGAAGTTTGCTTGCGACTCTAGCTTCCGATTCGGGAAACCAATAAAGGGCGATTCTGCTTAATTTTCCCCTACCTTTACCATCTTTAATCTACTCCAATAAAAAAACTACAGCACCTAGATACGTCTAACCTGGAACAGATTTTTCTAAGCGAGATCTAGAATAACTACAACCAGGTTTGGGGTTTTGGAAACCTTTCTGATTTGTGACACTTTAATAAAGACCGATTTTAATACTTTTTTTTTGTCTCCATGTCACACTAGAAGTAATCTAGCTCTCGAACTGCAATACCTAGACAAATCCAGGTTTGATGTGTCTAGGTACTTTAATTATAGTAGATTTAAGATGCCGATGGTTGGGAAAAATGTATTACTTTCCATAATCTGAAGCCAACTTCAGCCTAATGTTATGTTAAGAGGTCCGTTTCACAAAGCAGGTTTAACAAATTCAGATTCAAATCCTCAACTCCAAATCGTTCTAGTCTAAAGTCGGGATCTCTGAGTTTTCGGTTTCTCAACAGCTGCTATGAATTATTTCAATTAACTATAAGTAGGTGCACACAGAGTTAAGCGTGTGCGTGACAAGTTTTAAAACCTATCATTAGTGGAGCCACAAATCGATGAGTCGCCATGGCAACAGGAAGTGCTTATTTCACCCCACTGGAACTAGAAATTTTACTGAAGGGAAAAAAAATGAAAATGTAGAGGAGAGGAAGATGGCGAAGGAGAAGAATGCTGCTTGAGTTAAAGTGTAGGTTTATATGGCCTGTGGCAGGGTGTTTTTACATTAATTAAAAGCACTCTAATCACTGTTGTTCTATATTTAGATCACTAAAATAAGATTTTTCTTGAACAAAATCTCACTTCTAGACTGAACTATAATATATTTTCTAAATAAAATTTTTGCTGCAGGAACTGAATTTCATAAAATATAAAATTATATTAATACGAATTAAGCTGTATGTACCTAGCAAAATTCAATCATCTGAAGTGGCTGTTTGGACATTTATCAGCTTGACTCATTTTGTATTTATTTATGATATATGAAATGCATTTCTTCATACTCAAAATAATACAAATACTGACCAGAAATATTAGGAATATGGAGATAAAGTTAAATTGTAGGCATTGGAAATGTTTTTTCTAGATTTAAATAGTCATTTTGACAAGGGAATATTTTTCAAATATCAGGAATTCAGTAATACTAATGCATATTAATTTGGCTTGCCATAGCCTGTTGTGACCATGATGACACTAAGGTTTTATTTCCTGAATGGTAGGGAGTCAATGCATCTGTTTGTTAAATCATCTTACTGCAGGTAAAGATTAAGAATAAAAACATTGTTCTAATAGATGCAACATGTTCATTATCTCATGGTTTATCAGTTTGATTCTGTCTCCCATCACACAGTAAATACTAAATGGCTGTTTCCAGTCGCCTCGGATGTTTCAATAAATGGTCCTTATTGGCTGTTATCAGTCTCATACAATGGCTTCAGATTGTAGCAGTAGGCTCAGTAGCTTGTTATCACCATGGAATTCATTAATTGATATATTTATAATCTGAAAGTAATTTCAGTAGTTCTGCATTATAATACAATGATCCGCATTTTGCTCAAAATAACTAAACCTACAACAAATCTCATATCCTGTCACTGAGTTGTAGAATCCTCTTCCTATAAATATTTAATTCTCTGTTGATCATTCTTTAATAAGATCCTTGTCAATTGGACATGCAATGTTTATTTTTAAAACCTAATGTGTCAAACAGACCTAGCTAGTGATTTGAAAACTACAATACAAATCTGACTGCATCAGAAAATAAAAACTTGTGATTGGTAGTAAGGAGAGTGGAGACCTCTTCATCAGATCTTATTACTAGATTGACATTTTTTATCGTTTGCTGTAAGAACATTGTTGTATTAAACTGTATTTATTCCATTCAGATAACGAAGTGAATGTCTTATTTAAAGAAGTGATCAATAATTGAGAATTTCATCCCATCCAGACTTTACTTTGTTGCCCTTAGGGTGCTCACTAAAAAAGTTCTCTCTAGTTGTACATACTAAATACATGTGGTGGGACCATCCATCAGATGCTATCAGCTGGCATTTTCAGTTTCCCCTGAATGTGTGTGTTATTTATTTATGATTGTACTCTTCTTAAAACCATACACACAGAACATGTTAAAATATTTTAATATACACATGTGACAATCATAAGAGATTGAAATGATCATTAACAAGAAATAACCATTATAAAGGTCCCTAAATGGTAAAATATATGCAAGCATCACAGATTATACCACTGACTGTGATTCTGCTTTCAACCAGCAGGTGGTTTCTTGAGCATATGAAGCTGCAAGAAATTATCCCTTTGCTGAAGCAAATGGCTGAAGCAAGGCCTCATCTTGCTATCAGTGTTGGATGCCTTTTTGTTGGGAAAGGATTTATTTGGTTTTGGTTTGTTTAATATGAGCGACATGCAGAGCATTTTATTTTAATTAATTTTTTTATTTACTGTACATGAAGAACTGCTGAAATGATTTTCAGATTACACATAGATTCATAATTTCTGTTGGGGGTAAAGGAATTACTTTAGGATTAGCATTCATTCAGTAACAACAAGGTACTGAGCCCACAGTCTGAAGCAAATTTATGGGACTGATAATCGCTTATAACAGCCACTTATTGGGATGTTAACATATATTTAGTATTTGCTGTGTAAAAGAAGAAAGAATCAAACCTTAAGAGCCCCGTCATTGTGGTCCGAAAAGCCTATGGCAAGCCGTTTTGATATTAGTTTTACTGAATATGTATTCCTGATATCTGATACAAAAAAATAAAATCCTTGTCAAAATGACAATTTCTAACAAAATTACATTCTTCAAATTTGGAAAAAAAATATTCTAGATTTCTAGAAATTAATTTCAGATGTCCATAGTCCTACTGTTACTGGTCTTCATTTGTATTACATTATTCATTGTTTTGACTATGAGAAATGTATTTCAGATCTCATAAGTACATATTCCATTAAGCTGATAAATGTCAGAATGGTCACTTAAAATGTGTAAACATTTCGAGGTATAAAACTTAATTCTTACTTGTATAATTTTGACTATTATTCTTCCACAGCTGTAACTCTGTTTCTCAGTTTTTTTTTTTTTTTTTACATTTAGTTTTTTTTTTTTTCATTTCTGCATTAAAATCTCTAGTTCCAGTGGGGTGAAATAGGCACTTTCTGATGTTGGTTTTTAAAACTTGTTACGCACTCTCTTAACTCCGATTGAACCTACTTAGACTTCATTGAACTAATTAATAGCAGCCATTTTGAAACTGAACAAAATTGGTGTTCCTGACTTTAGTCCAGATCAATGCAGAGTTGCAGATTTGAATCTGAGTTTGTTAAACCTGCTTTGTGAAATTAATCCCAGGTCATTGTCTGCTCAGCATAATATTTACAGCTGCATTTAGCTCTATACAGCTTGGTATTGAAAATCAGCACAAATGCTGTGAAACATCACTTTTCTTTTGCATCAATTTTTATTTTAATGCCATAAAACTCAAACCGGTTATAACTTTTCTCCCCTTTTCAGATTACCAGACAACACATTGTTTGTGCACATGTTGGTAAGTACTAGAACATGTGATTACTGAATAGTTAAAAAATAAATAAAAAAAACTTAACATTTTGCTCATGTTATGTTTTTATTGTTTTATTCTCAGTACTGGTGACCTCGCACATCCCTATTGAGACAACGGTAAGTTCTCTCATCAATAAACTAACTTCAAAGATTTAATGATTAACTATCAACTAGATTAAAACTTTGAGGAGTAAAGCACAGTTTAAAAAGGTTTTGTTTAGATTAAAACTCATTAACTATTTAATGACATATTTCCATCGGGCAGAGAGATGAGACAGAAAATTATGCTTGGCTCACAATTGTCAGAGTACCATTACCACAGGAGATACTGAAAGAACTTGATGCAACATCTACAAATGCATAGGCATTTCTATTTTAATGTTGCATAACGTTGATTTGGCACCTCTGATGGTTCTTGAGTTCAATGAAATGTAGATTTAAATTGATGTAGGTTTTTAAGTTGTGTGTGTATATACATAAATAAAATTTTAGACATATTAATATATAATTTACTTAGGTTATTATAGACATTCCTTCAAAATGTAAACTTGGTTTGACACAAAAAATTGAAATTAAAATCACACAAAAAAGAGATGGGTTTAATTGGTATATTGTTCTTTTACATCAATGAAAGAAAGTAAAGTTATATTGCTCCAGTTTATTTTGTCTACATCTTCTCTCAGGAGGGCAAAAAAGGATTTAGTCAGCAACTGATTGTCCAAGTTGTCTACTTAAAAATTTGAATGTTTGCAATTTTATCTTTTGTCTATGATACAAATCATGAGGGGGAAAATAATCCAGTAAATTACATTGTAGGATTTCAAATACTTTATCTCTAAGCCCGAAAAGCACTTGGAGATTTCAAACTAGGGCTGCATCTAACGATTATTTTAAAAATCGATGAATCGGCCGATTATTTTGTCGATTAATCGATGAATCGGACAAAAAATATTTTTTTATATTTTATACTCTTTATTCCAAAATAAACATTTTATTCAGAACAAACAAGCACACAAGTACAGGTTGCTCATTAACTGTACTGGTGCAATATGAAAAATAAATGTTTGTGTTAAAACTACGCAAACTTACATGAGAAATGTAGCTGTACATCCACAAAATATAGGGTACTTTGTTTCATAAAGTGCAAAAAAAGACATTTTTGTTTTTAAAAGCCCCTAAGGGGTTCAAACAATAGCCCCCCCCCCATTTCAACAAATGAGGTTTTTTTTAGACTAATAGAGTTCTGCCTTTTAAGACAGGAAAGTATAGCAGTTAAAGTTGCTACTTGAGAAAATACTGAACCATAGAGATAAAAATAGCCCTGTGATTCAAATTATAAATTGTATTTGGAATAAAAATGAGAGAACTAGGGGTGGTAAAAAACACATCCTCCAAAGACATGTTAATTTGTTTTGACAAAAGTTGCATGTTACGACTTTTTTCACTGTACAAAGCGCAGGCTATTTTAATTATTGTGATCAATTAGCGCCGTCAATCCCGGTGCATGCGCGCTTCATTTGCAGTCTGGACGCTGAGGCTAAACATCCTGCGGCTCTGACTGCAGCGCTGAGACGGACTCCTGCGGGAGCGGGGGGAGGCGCCCCACGGCAGAGTAGGAATGATACATGCTTTCACGTAAGAGTCTCCAAAAGCCGCCAGTGACACCGTAAAAAGTCGCCAGATTTGTCGCTAGTCGCTTTTTTGAAAAATAGTTGCTGGAGGGGTCTGAAAAGTCGCTGAGTTGGCAACACTGCACCTGCGGCGCTGACTCCCTCTGCCGTATTTTTTCTTCTTCCCCCGTTTCAGTCAAGTGGATGTGATGACGGCGGCGGCGGATGACGCATTAATCGCGCGACACAACTAATCGATGATGAAATTCGTTGCCAACGCTTTTAAAAGTCTATTTTATCGATTCGTTGTTGCAGCCCTAGTTCAAACCTCTGTCAACCAGCAAATTTTTCCCAATATTGGCATAAATCATATAGATCTTAAATCATTACTGAATTTAAATGAATTGTTCCTTGGCATAACGCACACCTTTGGTTATGAAATCTGCTCATAAGCTCTCAATCGACCCCGCTAACAGCCCAACAACGTTCCCTTTCCTTGTGTTTTGCTCTTTAGTAAAATACCTTGTGACTTTTTCAGTCTGATGCTGCCAATAGACACTGCTGCCACCCTCTGGTGTTGTGGGGAACTGCTTATTCCGCCAAATATCCCTGTCTCACATTAGAGAATCTTAAAAAAACAAATTGTATCCATATTATGATCTGGATCATCACCAAAATGTAATAGAATTTTCATTGGCATGGGGGAAACCTCTGATACAAATTTTATTAAAAGCCATATCTTAACAAATTATCTGGTAAACACACAAAACGCCCCACACACCGAGGTTATGTTTCCTAAACACATAACCTCTTTGGCAGAGGTAATTTCTGTGGACAAAATATTTGGTGAATCACAATAATTTGGTTTAATAATTTGTAGCATACGCTTTGTTTGAAATGAGAGGAGTCATACATGTTCTATTTAGTCTTCTCAATCAGGTCTTGTTCAGAGCAGTGATGTTTTAAGGCCGTCTCTGAAATTAAATTTCATTCATACGGCTTTCTGACAGGGAATGAGCAGCAACTTAGCAGTAAAAAAGAACATTTCCATTCATAAAGTGCAGCAGTGATCAGATGTAAACAGTGAAGGTGAGACATGGCTGAACATTGTTTAGGAATCATCCTGGAAGACCTAGCTATGTTTCATCTTTGTTGCCGTCACTGATGGAAGGGAGGTTTCTGCCCTGACCCAGTTTATTCTTCCCTTGACGCTGATCTGTCATCCAGTTTGCTTTGCATTAAAATGTTTTGTTCCACCCCCATGCTTCGTAGTAAGTATGGTGTTCTTGGTATGCAGCTAATCATTTTTAGTTCTCCAAACATGATGGGTTTAGTTTGTTCCCAAAAGTTCTATTTTGGTTTCATCTGGTAACATTATATTGTAGTTTTCTTCTGGACCAAACATGAGCAATTAATACAAGTAAAGACTGAAGGACAGAAGGGCTCCTTAAATCAGTTGATTTTATTCTCTCTGTCATTTTGTGTCTATGGGGAAGGTATGATGAAAATTAAAGACAGGTCATATATTTCTTATTAGGATAACTTGCACAATCACTGGCTAACTAAATATGTTTTATAACTTGATGTTTCTGGTTTAAATTATATGCAACAGAAGATGCTTTGTGTTTATATAGAATCTAATATAATTTATTTTCCTTTGTGTCTCACAGGTCCTTGGGTGTCCCCAGGTGCCAGTGAAAGGCCTTGAAAGCATTTGAAAAGCCTTGAAAGCATTTGAAAAGCCTTGAAAGCATTTGAAAAGCCTTGAAAGCATTTGAAAAGCCTTGAAAGCATTTGAAAAGCCAATTCTGAACCTGTTTTTGAACCTCATCTAAAGAAATAAGTTTTTGAACCTCCTTTATAAAAACCTGATTTTGAACCTCCTTTATAAAAACCTGATTTTGAACCTCCTTTATAAAAACCTGATTTTGAACCTCCTTTATAAAAACCTGATTTTGAACCTCCTTTATAAAAACCTGATTTTGAATGAAACCTGATTTTGATAAAACCTGTGTTTGATAAAAACCTGTGTTTGATAAAACCTGTGTTTGATAAAACCTGTGTTTGATAAAAACCTGTGTTTAAATAAAACCTGTCTTTAAAAGAGCTGTTTGAACCTGTTCTGGTTTGAAATTGTATTATAAGTTTAACAAAAAATTAGAGAATCAATCTTTGGTTTGCATTAAATAATCCCAAGGTCAATTTAACCACATATTTCTTAAGTATAACTGCTTTAAAGAAGCGATAGTAAATCCTGAATAAAGATCTGTTATTGCTGTCTGGAGAGTATTTATACCATGCCAAGAAAAGGTCAGCGCTCGCAGTCTCAGAAGCTCAGAAGGCAAAAGGAGAGAGAATGGGTAAATGTTCTTCAAAGTGGTGAGAAGGGAAATCATTCTGTTTCATCAACTCCAGAAGTCCAGCCGAGAGATTACCTTAAAGATGACAGAGGTGAAGCAGATGTGGTAAAAGGGTTCCAAGCAGTAAATGTGATCGCCTCCAAAGAACAGCAGGTAATTGCATCTAAAAATGAACATGGACAGCACGACGGAGAATCTCCAGGACCATCTAATGAACCTGCTGAACCTCAGCCATCAGTGAAAAGTGTCTGTGCATCCAGGAGTCAAGCATCTTTTAAATATGGAAACTACAGAAATAAGCAATGTATGGCTAATTGTTTGGTTTTCCTTTCATTCGTCCATGAACATGATTTTATTACAAAAGATGATCTTAACAGGGTTTTGGACAAAGGTCATGCTATGTATTCAGATGTCAGAAAGATCTACATTAACAGCATATTTCTAGAATTTGAAGAGCTGCCTACTGTGGTTAAAAGCCGTAGTCATGAGTATCAGGTGGACATGTCTCAGCCCATTCGTCATGGATTATTTGATGGTGGTCCAGATGCTCTGAGCTTGGAACAAGGACTGCAGTGTTTGAGATCAGAGGTCCAGTATGCTCTTCTACTCATGACATCAACATGTATCGCAGTTTGCAGGCTAAGTTCTGGTGAATATGCTTACTTTGACCCTCATCCCCGCAAGTCAACAGGACTTCCATTTCCCTCTGGCATAAATGGTGGAAAAGCTGTTCAGCTAAAATTCAGCCGACTTGATGACATGATTGCAAGGATCAAACTTGTGTACAGAATACTTGGAACTGCTTCAGACTGTCAGTATGATATTAAGCCAATCACATTTCAATGTGAAGACTTTGCCATGGAAACCCTAGACTATATACAAACCACTACAAATGTGGAGCCAATGTTAGATGAACCTGTTTGGAAACCAAACACTGAGACATCTACTGAACAGACACAGAGGATCAATATAGAGGCGACTTGTGTTAAAGACGCTGTGCGATCCAATGATTCATGTGAAGTGACATCACCCAGAATGGATTCTTCTTCAAATGAGACCACCGCTCCCATGAGCCATTGCCCCTCTGATCCGTTACTACAACAAACACTGCCATCATATGTAAAAGAAATACATGTAACATCACATGTGTCTAAGAATGATTCAAATAAAGCATCTGGCTCAAAAAAGACAGTTTTCAGTGATCTCCCCGAATCTCTGGTTGAAGAACTTAACCGTAAAATGTTGAAACGTAGCAAAAACGAAAAGTTAAAAATAAAGAGAAGACTATTGACCCAACTTGAACTTCAGAGAAATGAATCTGATCAGATTCAAGATGAAAATGTGCACAAAAAGAATCTTTATAAACAAAGTTCTAGGTATAAAGAAAACAAAAAGGAATATTTAAGAAGGATTTATAAAGAAAAAGATGGCTTTAAGGAAAAAAAGAAGGCACAAATGAGAGCGATCTATAGAGAAAGAGAGGAAGTTAGAGATAAAAAAAGAGAACATCTTAGAAAGCTGTATAAAGAAAGTACTACATTTAGAGAAAAGCAGAAAGAACGTGTTAAGAGTACTTACAGAATAAATTCTGTGTACAGAGAAAAGCAAAAAGAACGTGTGAAAAGAACTTACAGAGAATGTCCTGCATTTAGAGAAAAGCAAAAAGAAAGGCAAAGAGAATATGTTAAGAGAAATTATGGACAATCTTTGGTATTTAGAGAGAAACATAAAGCTCACATGAGGTCATATTTGTCTCAACTATATAAAGAGAGTGAAGCATTTCAACAGAAAAAAAGGTCTTACATGACTAATCGTTACAGAGAAGGAGAGTTTCGTCAACAACACAAGAATAATATGAAAAAAAGAATGAGAGAAAGATACTGGCAAAGTTGTTCTTTTAAAATGTTGCATAATATCAGATGTGGCATGAAAATAAAAAGAAAGTATCGCCATATGCATCGACCTGCTGAAATCTTACAAAATCAGCCAGATAACGATTTAATCAAGGAGGCCATTTCTCTTTTCAGAGAGAACATCAAATCAGGACCATCTTATGTTTGTACTGTCTGTCTGAAAGCATCCTTTCCAAATCAGGTGAAAATCTGCAAGAGATCTAATTATTCAAAGCATCAAGCTGTAGCTCAGCAATGTCTCACAGGGAAATATGTTCATGAGTGTGATGAAGCATGTAATGATCAATGCAGCTTTCCTGTTGAGAGAAAGAAGGAGTATATCTGCCACACGTGTGATTCCTCTCTTAGAAAAGGATGTATGCCGCGGCTAGCTGCAGCTAATAAACTGGAATTACTAGATATTCCAAATGAATTGAAGGATCTTAATATTCTTGAAAGGCATCTCATTGCAAAATGCATCCCGTTTGCTAAAATTATTCCATTACCTAAAGGCAGACAACGGCTCATTCGTGGAAATGTGGTGTGTGTTCCATCTGAAGTCCAAGAAACGGTAAACAGTTTGCCCAGACTGAGAAGTGAATCACAGGTCATGAGGGTCAAGCTGAAACGAAGACTGTGTTTTAAAGGCCACCACATCCTTCAGACTATTTCATGGTCAAAACTGATTCATGCCCTGCATAAACTAAAACAGATCCATCCCCAGTACACAGATATCGAGATCAGGGATGATGCATTGCTCTGTGATCCTACGTTGCCTGATGAGGACAGTAGTGATGAGGACAGTAGTGATGAATCCAGCATGGGAAGTGATGATTACGATGAAGCAGATTTAATGGAAATTGACAGGTATGAAAAAGATGCACTGTGTGAAACCGATTCTGAAAGTGAACAAGATGGTGATAAGTCATCCTGTGATGAACCACCAGAACAACAAAATCCAGATGAACCAGAAAATGATCGTCAGAATGGAGGTTTCGCATTAGAAAGTTGTCTGCAGCCTGTTGACATATCAGAGGAGATTCTGTGTTTCAGTGATAACACGTACTGCGTGGCTCCTGCTGAAAGGAACAATCCTGTTAGTTTTTTCAGAACCCCGCATTTGGAAGCCATGTCCTTTCCTTCACATTTCCCTAATGGTCAGAACACTCTTGATGAAGCAAGACCACTTAAACTCACACCAAGTGCTTATTTCAAGTCGAGACTGTTCCATATTGATGAGAGATTTGCTAAAGATACAAACTACCTGTTTTTTGGACAGTTTGCTACAGAAGTCCACTTGGCAAATTCCAGCATGATGATACAGCTCAGAAAAGGAAAAACTACAACAAAAGATGGTAGGAGAATAACCTCAGGGATGTTACAAAGTAAGACAGAAGTGGAGAAACTGATCAGAAATAAAGATGCCATCAGATTTATGCAGCCTCTAAGAGGAACTCCAGCTTACTGGGAGAAAACGACTCGAGACCTTTTGAGCATGCTACGTCAGATTGGAACGCCACAGTTCTTTGTAACCTTCTCTGCTGCTGAGATGAGATGGCCTGAAGTGATTCATGCAATAAAGAGACAGCAAGGTGAAGTGGTGGATTTTGAAGCACTTAACTGGACAGAAAAGACTGACATTCTAAGATCTAATCCAGTTACCACCATGCGAATGTTTGATAAACGAGTTGAAGCTCTGTTCAGAGACCTGCTACTTTCTCCTGCGAGGCCGCTTGGTGAAATTGAGGATTACTTCTACCGAGTTGAGTTCCAGCACAGAGGTTCCCCTCACATCCATATGCTACTTTGGACAACTGAGAAGGTAGACATAGAAGTGGATGATGATATAACCGTTTGTAGGTTTATTGACAAATATGTCACAGCTCAACTTCCTGACCCAGAAAAGCAACCTGAACTGTACAAAAAAGTCACTGAACTCCAGAAACACAGCAAAAGCCACACAAAGACTTGCTTCAAAAGCCTTAACTCTGGTTGCAGGTTTGGGTTTCCAAAACCAGTTGCTACTAAAACAATGATTGTCAGGTCCAATGATTTAGCAGATGTTGACGCTGCAAAAAACAAACTCAGGCCGCTGATGAACCTGCTGCACCAACCTGAAGCTGCTTCCTTAACAGTTCAGCAGATCCTCTCACGATGCAACCTGACAATGTCCGAATACCAAGAATGCCTCCAAGCGATTAACAAAAAAACTGTTGTCATTCTGAAACGTGACCCGAAAGACTGTTGGATCAACAATTATAATCCACACCTGCTTGAAGCCTGGGATGCTAACATTGATGTTTCCTTTGTGGTAAATGCTTATTCTTGCATTCAGTATCTCACAAAGTACATAACTAAGAAAGAGAGTGGACTTTCTGACTACCTGAAGACAGTTATTGATAACTCTGACAAGGACAGAGTCAATGAATGTGATGAAATGAAAGCTGTGATGCAAGCTTACTCCAAAAAGAGAGAAATCAGTGCCCAGGAGTGTGTCACTCGAGTCTGTGGGTTAAAAATGAAACAATGTTCCCGCGGTGTGGTGTTTGTGCCAACGGATGAGAACCCAGTGAAAATGAGCCGCCCAATGAGCTTCCTGGAGACCACAACAGATGACAGTTGGAACATTTGGATGACTGGTTTGGGTGATAAATACAAAAGTAGACCTGAGACCCCAGAATACGAAAAAATGTCCCTTGCGGATTTTGCCGCTCTTTGCCGCTTTGTGAGTGGTCCGAATGAAGGAAAAGATGTTCTTCCCCTGCTAAACCAACTTGGATTTGTACAAAGACGAAAGAATGAAAAACCTGCCATAATCAGATACTACCACTGCTCGGAGGAAAAGGAACCAGAGCAATATTATGGGCGTCTGATGAGACTTTACCTTCCACACAGATCAGAGCTGGAACTGAAACCACCAAGGTTCGAAACCTATCTGTCCTTCTACAACGCTGGTTGGGTACGGCTTCCAGGTTCAGCCCAATGTGAGAGCGTGAAGAGCATTGTACAGAGAAACAAAGAGAAGTATGAGAAAAACTCAGATGAAATTCAGAGTGCAGTGGAGGAATTTGAGCAAAGCAGAGATATTGTCGATGAATGGAGTAATCTTGCCCCTGAATCCGAAGTTGTGAGGTTACGGTGCGATGACAATCTTCCTGAGAGACATTCTGACCATGAGGATGAACAGGAAAATGTGCCAGACTACAGTTGTGAGTCCAATGCAGTACCAGAGGTTAGGGCCACCAGAGAGAAACCTGCAATAGATCCAGCCGTGCTACGCACAATGTATCAGAATCTGAACCAGAAGCAGGCCTGTGTCTTCTATGCTATCAGAGACTGGTGTATTCAGCGTGTCTGTGGTTTGAATCCGATGCCTTTCCAGTACTTCATCAATGGTGGCGCAGGGACTGGCAAGAGTCATTTGATTAAATGTGTGCATGCTGAAGCATCAAAGATCCTGAGCAGACTGTCTACTAACGCAGAGGAGGCTGACATATCAAATCCAACTGTGTTATTGACATCATTTACAGGAACAGCGGCTTTCTCCATCAATGGCTCCACACTGCATTCCCTGCTGAAACTACCCAGGAGTCTGAAACCACCCATCCAAGGACTTGGGAATAAACTAGATGAGGTCAGATCAGAGCTCATGAATGCAGAAATTCTGGTTATTGATGAAATTTCCATGGTTTCAAAGCCTCTTTTTACTTATGTGGATGCAAGGCTGAAGCAGATTAAAGGCACCCAGAGACCTTTTGGGGGGATGTCCTTATTGCTGGTTGGTGATTTCTTTCAATTACCACCAGTGAGACAGTCTAAACCCCTCTGTGTTTATGATCCAGAACACATAGACCTATGGCAGGAACATTTTCAGATGATCACTTTGACTGAGATCATGCGCCAGAAAGATGACGTCGCCTTTGCAGAGATGTTGAACAGGATTCGTGTGAAAGAAAGCTCAGAAGAGCTTTCTCATGATGACAGAAATTTGCTATCACAAGCACTGACACAACCAGCTGACTGCCCTATTCACATTCTGCACATATTTGCAACAAACAAGAGTGTGGAAGCCCATAACAAATCTACCCTGGCAAAACTTCATTCAGACATCATCGAAATTGATGCAGACGATTTCGAGAAGGATCCTCGAACAGGTAAAATGACACGAAGGGACAAACCATATACAGGTGGGAGGAACGATTTGCCTGACAAGCTGTCTGTTGCTATAAATGCCAGAGTTATGCTGACCAGAAACTTAGACACAAGTGCAGGTTTGGTAAATGGTGCTTTCGGTGTTCTGATGAAAGTGGTAAGATCTGAGACGGATGGACACATTGTTAAACTTGGCCTTAAAATGGACAATCAGCAGTCTGGGGGACACAGCCGCAACGCAACTGCAGCATCTGATGATCTGGTTTATGTTGAGAGATCAGAGGAGAATCTGAAATTCAAAGGTGTTGTACGTAGGCAGTTTCCTGTAAAGCTGGCATTTGCATGCACGATTCACAAAACCCAGGGCCTTACAACAAAGACGTGTGCTGTTTCCATGAAGAACATTTTTGAACCTGGCATGGCTTACGTTGCTCTCAGCAGGGTGACATCTCTCAGTGGCCTGTATTTACTGGACTTTGATGAAAAGAAGATCTATGCCAATCCTGAGGTCACTGCAGCACTCCACACCATGAGACAAGCCAATGTTGAAGATGTGATGCCTCTCCTTCAAGTCAGAGACACAGCGTGCAGACCTGACACTCTCACACTGATCCATCACAATACAGAAGGTTTGCCATCTCATATCAGTGACATCAAGAGTCACCATGAGCTGTATCTTGCTGATGTTTTGTGTCTCACTGAAACCCGCCTGCAAGGATCTTTTGTTTCAGACAGTCTTCAACTGGACGGCTACACGCTTTTCAAGCGCAACAGACACGTGTCCTACACTAACTTTCCTGAGATGGCTAGCAGAGCCGGTGGTGGAGTAGCAGTGTATTTGAAGGATCATTTTCAGGCTCAGGTAAAACAGTATCTGCATAATGTTACTGACCTTGAATATTTGGTCTTAAAGGTCCAGGCTCCTTTCCCTGCCATCATTGGTGTTGTGTATCGACCTCCAGACTACAGTTTGAGACCATTCCTGCAAAATCTGGTAAGTCTTTTAGACTCACTTGAAATTATGGATTTTCAGCCAATAATTGTGTGTGGCGATTTTAATGAGAACCAGCTACCGGAAGGAAGGAAACCGATTTTGGAGCTGTTTCAGTCCAGGGGGTACAAACAACTGATAACGTCTGCCACGACAGACAGGTGCACGTTGATTGATCTTATTTTTATTTCTCAGCCACAGCAATGTCTCACATCTGGTGTCCTGAGAACATATTACAGTTACCACAACCCTGTTTTCTGCATATTGAGCCCTAGCCAATCATGAGGCCATCTGGTGAGTTTTAAAGTATTCACACATCTTGCTTGTTTCATATTTTATAGAGATCAAATTATTATGTTCTGTCATCATGGGTAATAAATTATGGATAAATATGTTGAAAAGAGACCATTGAACTATGTTGGAAACTAAATATTCTTTTGTTATTTTGTAAAAAAAAAAAAATCAATGTGAATTTAAATATATTTCTTAGCTTTATATTTATAATCATTCATCAGTGCAGGATTTATTCATGGCTAGTATGTGCTTTTACTTGAAATAATGTTATTGCTAGTTTTCTGAAAACAAATGTTTTCTTAAGTGTGTACATTTTTCTTAATCATGACATGTTTTCTTAATCCAAAAGGCCTACATAAATCAGACATTTTATAGATTGTATTTTCTTGATCTGTGATTATATTGAGGGTTTTTGTTATTGCTAATCTGAATTTGAATCATGATACATTTATTGAATTATTAATGTCAAACATAATTTTAATAGTAGGGATTAATTTACAGTTACACTTAATATTTACTTTAGGTGGCACATGTATATTGAGGACATCCTTCAGTCTCAAATAAAGGCATCAAAAAAGGTGCAAAACACAATAGCATCAGACTAAAATGTGTAAAATACCTGCTCACACTTTAATGATGCTTCTTTTTTGTAAAACCTCGAGATGTCCTCAATGTACACTGCTACACTATACTACACTATAAAACATTTAGCCAGAAATGAAGTCACATGCACAAGTTTTATTTTCATAATATGTATGTTAAATCATGGAACAGCTTTTTAGTGATTGATAGATAACCCTGCATTATGTTAAAAGCTAAATGTATATTTTTATTTTAGTAAATCATGAATATTTTTGCAACTAGGCAGTTTACCATTTAAAAAGTCCAATTTGGCTCTGATTACCAATTAATAATAAGTGCAGAATTAAATGATGGCTAACTTGTAATCATTTGAATAATGATAGTTCATGGTGCTTGTTGAGAAGCAGTTTTCTAAGTGAAAGTATTATTTTTCATCATGGCATGTTTTAGAGGTGATAGCTATATTACAATGTTTCTGTTTTGTTTTTAAGTATGTAGAATCATGGATCAGTTTATGAGTGATTGATAGACTTAGACTTAGAGACCTAGACAGATTTATTTTGTCATTTTGTATACACAAGTGCAAACAAAAAGAAATTTAGTTCAGAAAAATGACAAAATAAATATGTCTAGGATAGAGAAAATTGCATTATGTTAAAAACTAAATATTGATTAGTATTTTTGTGAAATATGACTTTGTTGTTTTTTATTTATCAAGTCAAACTTGCTTCTGATGCTAAATTAAATCATGTACAATAAGAGTTTCTGTTTTGTTTTTAAGTATGTAGAATCATGGATCAGTTTATGAGTGATTGATAGACTTAGACTTAGAGACCTAGACAGATTTATTTTGTCATTTTGTATACACAAGTGCAAACAAAAAGAAATTTAGTTCAGAAAAATGACAAAATAAATATGTCTAGGATAGAGAAAATTGCATTATGTCAAAAACTAAATATTGATGAGTATTTTTGTGAAATATGACTTTGTTGTTTTTTATTTATCAAGTCAAACTTGCTTTTGTTGAAGCATCACTGCTAAATTAAATCATGGCTCAAATGTGTTTTTAATTGAAATTGTGTATTACAGATCATGTACTTATAGTTGTTGTTTTTTTTATAAATATTGATGTTTTGTTATGGATACATTATTTAAGGTTTACATGTTTCAGTTTAAATTTTTCTAGATCTATATTGTGACCTGGCCTTTTACCTGGGTGGGTTTATGGTTAGGGATGGTAAAAGGCCAGGTCTGAATTCTGCCCATTTCATATATGAAATGGGTTTTGTACCCATTTCATATATGAAATGGGTACAAAGCAGAACTTTCCCTTATTAAATGTACCCATTTAAATGGGTACATTTAATAAGGTAAAGCAATATACATCAGAAAGGATGGAGTTTGAATGTAATCCATCCTTTCTGATGTCACTTTAGAGATACCAGCTGACATCCCATACTAGAATAGGTTAAGGGGTTGAGTCCAAGAATGGCTTTCAACTTTATCTTGTATAATCGTGTTTCCTTTGATCTGTTTGTTTATTTTGGTCCTTGTGACCACATCTGTAAACTTCATCAATGTAAGTGAATGCTGTACTATAATATCACCTTGTTCATGAACTGCTGATCCAAAACTGGCCTTCTCAGTGTTGGACAACTCAGATATCACATGCTCCATTGAGACAGCTGCTTAATGACCTACAATGCCAGAGATCTTCAGAGGGACAGAGGCACACCCTTCAGAAGACTCTGGATAACCCAGACAACATCACCACCCAACCACACAACCCATCGTTTGAACTAGCAACAATGAGTGCTGCGTAGGCCTCTGCACATCCTGCCTGGGAGTTTGGCGATTCTAAAAGGAGAAGGAGGTCATTAGTTTTCATCTATAAAACAAATATGTGTTTAATTTAACAGGTGTACATTGTCCAAATAGTTTTTGGATTTAGCCATTGTAATCTAGAGGTAAAGTTTTAATTGGGGTTTGTTTGTTTTTAAACATCCTCTGTGTGCAGGTATGGCTGTCTTTAGTAGTTCACTTTAAGCAGCTGAGACCTTCAACACTTCAACAATGAGCTTCTAACAACACATACAGTACCACTACCTGGAAGTGAGACCACTTGGACCTGGGTTTTATTACTTGCAACTGTTTTTTTTAAGGTTATTCATTTATAATGCATTACGATACATCTTATTTTGACATTTCTAAGCTTTGTCATTAACATGTATTTCCTCTAAATTTTCAGAACAATTTCCATCTGCAAACCAGCATTTTGTGTTCTGTTACAACACACAAGATGAAATGGTTCTGCTGTTTTACCACACTGGATGGAACCAGTTTCTCTCAACTCCACACTGATGAGATGTCTCGCTGTATGAAGGGAACCTGCAACTATTTCCCTTTGACTCTACCCCCTCCTTTGGTATCAACATCTTCATTATTGGCTGAAAGGTAACACTTTCTACTGTTTTACAACTCTTTCAGACATTAGAAACACCTAAGTAATTAATATTTCCGTTTGTCTGTTTCAGATAAGCAAAAGCTATGTCTTGCTGTATGAAGGGAACCTGCAACTATTTCCCTTTGACTCTACCCCCTCCTTTGGTATCAACATCTTCATTATTGGCTGAAAGGTAACACTTTCTACTGTTTTACAACTCTTTCAGACATTAGAAACACCTAAGTAATTAATATTTCCGTTTGTCTGTTTCAGATAAGCAAAAGCTATGTCTTGCTGTATGAAAGGAACCTGCAACTATTTCCCTTTGACTCTACCCCCTCCTTTGGTATCAACATCTTCATTATTGGCTGAAAGGTAACACTTTCTACTGTTTTACAACTCTTTCAGACATTAGAAACACCTAAGTAATTAATATTTCCGTTTGTCTGTTTCAGATAAGCAAAAGCTATGTCTTGCTGTATGAAGGGAACCTGCAACTATTTCCCTTTGACTCTACCCCCTCCTTTGGTATCAACATCTTCATTATTGGCTGAAAGGTAACACTTTCTACTGTTTTACAACTCTTTCAGGCATTAGAAACACCTAAGTAATTAATATTTCCGTTTGTCTGTTTCAGATAAGCAAAAGCTATGTCTTGCTGTATGAAAGGAACCTGCAACTATTTCCCTTTGACTCTACCCCCTCCTTTGGTATCAACATCTTCATTATTGGCTGAAAGGTAACACTTTCTACTGTTTTACAACTCTTTCAGGCATTGGAAACACCTAAGTAATTAATATTTCCGTTTGTCTGTTTCAGATAAGCAAAAGCTATGTCTTGCTGTATGAAGGGAACCTGCAACTATTTCCCGTTGACTCTACCCCCTCCTTTGGTATCAACATCTTCATTATTGGCTGAAAGGTAACAATTTCTACTGTTTTACAACTCTTTCAGACATTAGAAACACCTAAGTAATTAATATTTCCGTTTGTCTGTTTCAGATAAGCAAAAGCTATGTCTTGCTGTATGAAAGGAACCTGCAACTATTTCCCTTTGACTCTACCCCCTCCTTTGGTATTAACATCTTCATTATTGGCTGAAAGGTAACACTTTCTACTGTTTTACAACTCTTTCAGACATTAGAAACACCTAAGTAATTAATATTTCCGTTTGTCTGTTTCAGATAAGCAAAAGCTATGTCTTGCTGTATGAAGGGAACCTGCAACTATTTCCCTTTGACTCTACCCCCTCCTTTGGTATCAACATCTTCATTATTGGCTGAAAGGTAACACTTTCTACTGTTTTACAACTCTTTCAGGCATTGGAAACACCTAAGTAATTAATATTTCCGTTTGTCTGTTTCAGATAAGCAAAAGCTATGTCTTGCTGTATGAAGGGAACCTGCAACTATTTCCCTTTGACTCTACCCCCTCCTTTGGTATCAACATCTTCATTATTGGCTGAAAGGTAACACTTTCTACTGTTTTACAACTCTTTCAGACATTAGAAACACCTAAGTAATTAATATTTCCGTTTGTCTGTTTCAGATAAGCAAAAGCTGAACAGGCAAAAGGGCACAGTAGGTCAAAGGTCAGAAGAAAATAAACTTTTGCCAATGTCATTGCCTCTATTACAATGAAAGTAAAGGTTTGACACTAGCTTTGTGAAGAAAAAAAAACATATAATAGCTTTAAAAATAGGAAACTGTGTATATACCCACCAGCTTTAATGTAACACTAGTGTAACTGCACTTATATCTGCCTAAGCGGAGCTTGATTGGGTTCATAAAATCCCACAGAAATCATCAAAGTTAATGTGAAGAGCATCACCAGCCCTAACTTCCATCTGACCCTCAGCAGGAGCCTTTAGTTCAAAAACCAGCTGCTGTGATTTACAGAGGCCCTGGCATCACTCCAGTTATCTTTAAACATTTGACATCAAGCCTATGAAAAGAGGGAACAACCAATCAGAACTTAAAAACAGCATTTATTCACATAGTAAAGAACACAACATCTATCTAAAGAAAACTATTATAATAGAAAATATGATAACACCAATTATTGATAATTGAAAGGGCAAAAGGGCACAGTGGGTCAAAGGTCAGAAGAAAATAAACTTTTGCCAATGTCAATGCCTCACCTACAATGAAAGTAAATATTTGACACTAGCTTTGTGAAGATAAAAAAAACATATAATAATTATATGTTGGTAGAAACAATAAAGTATATTTTGGTCACATCACCCAAGAATGCAGCACATCATTAGGACACATTCTGAAGGATAAAAGCTTAGTTTAACACATGAGCATATAATATCAGAACCATATCAATACAGGTGTATGCACCAAGTGGGGAAAATCAAAGTCATTGGAAGGATTTTTAACCACGCAAGTATTTACAAAAAACAAAAAAGAGTTATGTGTATGAATAATTTATGATTATAAAAGGCTGAAATCATACAAACACAAAGCATAAAATGTTATATTTTCTACTGCATAATGTTTTGCATTTTGCCAGTACTAGTAACTCTGACTGGTGATGGAATTTCTTTTGGTAATAAACCTTTTAAAAAACATTTCATTAAAGTCCTCCTATATATCAAATTGTTATCCAAACAGATACCAAATCAAAACTCATGTTGTTAAACATTAGGTTATATTTAAGAAGCTTTGCTAGTGGAGTATGCAATGTGTTTGCTTGAAGTCTGCCTCAGTTTGGGATGTCAGCTGGTGTCTAGGTTTAAAACGGGCTTTTCACGATTGTGCAGCGACCAGGCTGAAATACATGCAAAACTATTCAGATTACTTATTTAACACTAATCACAACAAATGCCATCTCAAGGCGTCTACAAAAATTATAAAGAAAGAAAAATTTAATTGCTTGAAAAAATTATACTGAACTTATGATAGTAATATCTGATATTTACTTTATGAATAAGTACAACTGTTGGATTCAGTGTTGATCGCAGCATGATGTGAAAAGCCTTGAGATATGTGTTCCTCTTTGTCAGGGTAAAACTGCTTAGATTAATAGCAGTTTTTTTTTAAGCACTGGAATACAAGATATTTTGGTAGGTAGATGTAATTTGCTACCACCTTTACCTTTTGTAATGATTAAAACAAATGAACTGTTAATATATTTTTTTCTAGGAACTAGGCTATAAATTATGCTTATTCTTGTGCTTTAAAATCTCGTATTCCATGTTTCGTAAATTCCTAATTTTGAAGTATATGTTTGGTGTTTTATGGTCAATTCAATATTAGAGTATGTAACAGTTTGTTGGAAATCATCTGCCTTTAACTGGCATTGAGATATGCTTTTTGCAACACATTTTTGTCCATCCCTATGAATCACGTGTTTAGTTTGTGTATTTATTATTTCACTATTTTGGTTTTCAGCACTTGTATTAGATCTGTGAGTTAAATGAGCTACTGTTTTTTGGAATCCCCAGCCGGCCTTGGCAGAAGGCTGCTCACACTGAGTCTGGTTCTGCTGGAGGTTTCTTCCTCTTAAGTAGGGAGTTTTTCCTCTCCACTGTCGCTACATGCTTGCTTGGTGTGAGGGATTGCTACAAAGTCAGCGACACAATGCAGGTGAATGTCTATTATAATGTAGAGAATTAGTGTGCACCTATGATTAAGGTTATATGATTAAAGTTGTATACATGTCATCTTTTACATTGAATAAAGGGCTTGGTTTAAAGGTCTAACCATTTTGTGCCTTAGCATGGAAAAGTCTGAGCTGTGAGACCAGCAGTACAGCTTTACAGATAAGGCTGATTAACTGAGTAGAAAGAGTTTTAAGTGCACCTGTGCAGGAGTAGACTGTTAATGAATAATCCTAAAGCGCAGCTTTTGCAAGGGTAGGTTTCCAAGGAAAGATAGAATTCTGAGCACAGCAGATGGTTGGGATCAATAATGTTCTGAGTACAGCAACAGAAGGGCAGATGGCCAAGGTCATTTGGGCCTCAGAAGCGGCAGAAAAGTCAGGATAAGGCCGGTTGGTGGAGCATTGGTGCAGATGTACACAGCTTAGTTAAACAAAATGTGATAACGGGAGCTGTTGGTTTTAACACACACACACCCTGAGCAGTACTAATGTGAGGGTTTACTGAAGCTTTAAGCACCCTAGTTCAATGTGAAATGTTGCAAGCATGGATCACTGAATAGTACTATGTGAAATGTTACAATCATAATTACTGGATGAAAACTTTGTTTTAAAATAATAAAAACTAAACTGAAAACTGTGTTTTGAAATAATAATAGCTGGAAAATAATGGTTGTTGATTTAATAGCGACATATGTTATTATGACTTATAAGAAAAGTAATCATGACATGTAATAAAATGTTTGTTGATTAAATATATAAAAAATGTGTTTTGAAAAGGACTTTCCACCGGTAAAATAAAATTAATTAGACTTAACCGAAGAAAATGCATGTAAAATGATGAAAAAGAAAGGAGGAGCTTGGGGGAGGAGCCCCATAGCCTGAAATGTATAAAAGGGAAGCTGTTTCATTGTATTGTCAGTTGTTTCTCCGGAGAGCAGCTCAGTGTGGATGCTGTGTTTTGCAATAAAACACTCTGGACTTGGAAATCCGTGACCTCTGCCTGTTTTTTTTACATTTTTGGTTGAAGACTTTTTCTGCCTTTTGAGAAGTTTGAATTTTTATAAAACTTAGTTTCAATTTTTAAGTCGTTAAGAAAGAAAATACACGACATAATTGGCGAGCCAGCGGCGGAGAAGAGCAAAAAGGGGACGCCGGACGATCCGCAGGCACCAGCTGGAAGGCGTGGAACCCCAAGGGCCCATAAGTCACCATTTAAGGTGAGTCAATTCGTTATAATTTTCTAAATTAGTGGGGAACCTGCCTCCGGCAACTGCCTGTAGGGGTTAGGCGTCACAAAGCTCTTCAAAAGAACTTAGTTTTCCAAATTTAATGAAGAAATTTCCAAATTTGAGAAGAATTCATATGAGAACAAATAAAGGCAGACTAAGCGGAGGAAAAGTCCAGGTATGTATGAGTATATGTGAATGTATGGTTTAAGTATTAATGGATGTTTATATCTGTATTTGAACTGTTGATAACTTGGTGAATAGGTCAAGCTTAACAGATGTTGTTCTGAGCGGACAAGTGGTGAAGGGACAGATTGGTCAAAACGTTTTTTGACAATAGTCGGTGGAAGCCATAGATCCGGAACATTATAGTACGTCTGTTACGTGAGGGTATTGATGACTATGATAGTTGGCATGCTCCATGAAAAAGCTTGTGTTGTGTATTAAGGTATTAAGAGGCTAAGCGATAGCCAGGCTAAGGGATAGCCAGAGTATTACCGATTAAGCGATAATCGTAGAGATAGTACCGCTCTACCGGGAACGTTATCTATTTTCAGTTATCTGAGTAGATCCGGACAGCAGGGAAAACGCGTATGCCACTGTGGAAGACAGTGAGAATAGTAGTGCACTGTAAAATATATAATCGTTTGTTTGGTGTGTCTTTGTCTGTGTGAAGAGTGAAAGAGTTACTACCAAAGGAGATAAGGGGTAAAAAAATTAATAATAATAGAAGAGTATAATATTGATAAAACGGTAAGATATAATAATAAGTTAATAGAAATTTAAATAAAAGATTATAACATTGATAAAATATCAAGACATAATAAAAAATCAATAGAAACTGTTAATACAAAACACAGTTAAAGATATAACCCAAAATTTAGAGAATTAAGAATTGTAAATCAGATTGGCAACTGGAAAGTATATAGTCAAAAGAATAAAAATAAATTAACAAAGTCCCAAAATAAAGATTTAAAAAAATTGAATATATAATTACATGATAAACAATTGGTATTATAAATCATATTGTATAAATTATAGAGTTACTATTCTTAGTTGCAAAGTATTATTATCTATAAAACTGTATTATTATCTATAAAAAACTCTACAAAATTTGAATTGGAAAAATCTAAACAGGAAAAAAGAAGAACAATTGGACAATAAGAATACTAATAAAAAACACAATCTGTATTGAAAAGAGCAGAATCGGTTAAAGTAAAATTAAAGTGAAATTATAAAGGTTGGTAAATAAGCATATACCCTAAGGGTTGAGTGATTGCTGATTGCCATGGGAGCCAATGGGAGCAAACAGTCTGCAGGATTGACGCCTGCCAAATTGGTTATAATGACACATCCTTCCAATAAACGCAAAATTCAAAAATGCATGACGGAATGGCATAAGATAACATCTGGAAAAAATCGCTGGCCTAAAGAGGGCAGCTTTGATCCTTCTTGTTGTGATGAAGTAGATGCCAAATTGCGGGAAAAGGATAAAAAGCGTGACCGATTGCATTTGCATAAAAAACAGAAGTATGCTGAACAGAGTGATATCTTGCGGTATTTTAAAATGGAACGCCATAAGAGCCCAACAGCCCCTGATTACATAGATCATGAGCCACCGCCTTATCACCCTAGTGCAGCCGGCCAGTACCCCGTAGTGTTAGAGTCAGGCAGAAAGGGAAAGATTACAGGGCAACTTAAAGTAGTGTTGGAAGAAGATGAGGATGAAACAGAAAAAGAGATAAGTGACACACAGCAGGATGAGTATGAATGCAGCAGTGAGGATGAGAAGATGCAAAGAACCCCCCAAGTAAGGAAAAAATCCTCCATTGCCCGTACCCGATCCTCAGTACGTCGCAAACACGCACCACTGCGGAAAAGCCTCACAAGCCACCCGACACCCAGGGCCAAGTTGGTCTTAGATGAACCTGAACCACTAAAGAAACTGAGAGACGAAGAGTTGATGATACTAAAAGAGTATGATTACAGCAGAGACTATGACGAAAGGGATAGAACCCCAGAAGTAAGGAGGAAAGCTCCCCATAGTCGCTCCCTGCCCCCAGAACGTCACAGACATTCACCATACCCTAGAGGCCCCCCATGCCGCTCAGAGCCTAGGACCACGTCAACATATAAAAGCCACGTAGACCCCAAGACCGAGGTAGTATTGGATGAAACTGAGTCACTGACAGAAAAGATAGACAAGGACTTGGCGGAACTGACGGAAACATTTGTACAACTCGTCAACAGGGAGAAGGAGTTGAAAGAGAAGGCGCAACAAGAACAATTAGTAAAATTAAAAGAAACAATAAAAAGACAAAAGGAGGAGAGGAAAAGGCGAGATGAAGAATTAGAAAAAGAAAGAAGAATGGAAGAAGAGCAGCTTATAATAGCAGCTAGGGAAGATTGCCCAGACCCACCATGTCCACAGACACAACTCCTGATGGACAAAGCAAGCAAGGAGGAGGTGAGCACAGTGGAGAGTGATGTGACAGATTGGGAACACGTTGTGCCACAAGATGAAGGCCCAGATTTAATATCGCCAAAACATCCATTCGATAAGGGGTCCAAGGAGAAGAGCAGGCTGAGGGCAAGTGTAAAAGAGCCTCTCACAGCCGAGTGTGATGTGGATCTACAAATAATACAAGGCGGTAAACACGCCATGCAAACCAGGTCCAAAGCAAGAGAGCTAGAGCAAGAGCAAGATGAGGTCTACATGGCTCCCTTGCTGTCTAAAGGACCTCAGGAAGAAAGATATGTACCCTGGTCCTTTATGGACATGATAACTCTGGCCGGGAGACTGACCCCATTAGCAGATGGTGCTGACAGGTGGATAGAAAAGCTGGAAGAAATCACTGGAGGCATCAACCTGGCTGCGGGAGACATCAAGGCGCTGCTGATCAAAACAGCAGGACACTCAGCAGCCAGAGAGGTGTTTGATGAAGCTCAGCTTCCAGGGGTCATGTCCTCACACCGGTATGACAAGATACCATTCAACAAGATAAGACCCAAGGTGTGGGCAGCCTTGAGAGACAAATACCCCACCTGCAGTGATCCATCTAAGCTGAAAGAAGAATGCCTGAAGGACGATGAGAGCCCAGCCCAATTCCTGCACAGGTTCCAACAGAAATGGAAAACAGAGACTGGCAGTGATGGGAAGGATCTGAAGACATTTGGCCCCCTGTTCAGGACCTACATCAAAGAGGCCATGCCCAAAGAAGTGCAAGCCAAACTGAAGGATGTTGTGGGGCTCATGAAGATGGACTGGCCACTGTTCACTGAGCATGTTATACATCATGTAAACATGTACAGGGCTGAAAAACAGGCCTTTGAGGAACAAAGTAAGGTGTTGGCCACCAGATTGACCCAGCTACAGATTGGGGAATTGTCCAGAGCAAAGAAAGAAAAAGAAAAACCCAAACATCAAGCAGCACTGACGGTGATACCCAAACACCCTCCTAAAAGAGAAGGGCACCAAGGGGAGAGGCATTTGGTAAAAGGACCCATGGTGTCTCCTGTTTTTCCCTTTCCCGCCCACACAGCAGAGGGGCAATTCCCAACCCCCAAAACCGGGCCCTGTGGGGAAGGGAGCCCTGCCAAAACCCGATCCAACCTAAACCCAATCCCTCCTATTCATGTGCACTAAACCCAAAGGAGGAGGCCCCTCAACAAGCAGGGTTCAATAGGGGAAAAACGAGGAGGCCACCCCCCGGGGGGAAAGGGATGGGAGGGGAACACAAGGGGGGCCCCCCAAAAGGCCCCCTAAAT